AGAGAAAAAACTATCCAAATCAGCAAAATAAAAAATGAAAAGGGTGACATGATGACAGACACTGAGAAAATCCAAACAATCATTAGGTCATACTACAAAAGCATATGTGTCAAAAAATTTGAAAATCGGAAGGAAATGGAAAATTTTCTTGATAGATTCCATTTACCAAAATTAAGTCAAGATCAGGTAAATAGATTAAATATTCCCAAAGCCCCTAAGGAAACAGAAGCAGTCATCAATAGTCTGCCTTCCAAAAAAGGCCTGGGCCAGATGGTTTTCAGCACAGAATTCTACCAGAGCTTCAAAGAAGAGCTGACTCCAATTCTCTTCAAACTATTCCACAAAATAGAAACAGAAGGAATATTACCAGACTCATTCTATGAAGCCACAGTCACCTTCATACCTAAACCACACAAATACCCAAGAAAAAAAGAAAACTTCAGACCTATCTCTGTTATGAACATTGATGCAAAAATATTCAATAGAATAGTTGCAAACCGAATCCAAGAAAACATCAAAGATATCATCCACCATAACCAAGTAGGCTTCATCCCAGGCATGCAGGGGTGGTTCAGTATACGGAAATCCATCAGTGTAATCCACCATATAAACAGACTGAAGGAGAAAAACCACATGATCATCTTCCTTAGATGCCGAAAAAGCATCTGACAAAATCCAGATCCCATTAATGTTTAGAGTCTTGGAGAGATCAGGAATACAAGGTACATACCTAAATATAGTAAAGACAATATACAGCAAGCCTATAGCCATCATCAAACTCAATGGAGAGAAACTTAAATCAGTCCCACTGAAATCAGGGACAAGGCGAGGCTGGCCACTTTCTCCATATCTTTTCAACATAGTATTGGAGCTCTACGTAGAGCAATAAGACAAACTAAGAAAGATCAAGAGGATAAAAATCAGAAAGGAAGAAGTCAAAGTATCACTATTTGCAGATGATATGATAGTACACATGAACGACCCTAAAAATTCAACCAGAAAACTCCTACAGCTGATGAACACCTTCAGCAAAGTGGCTGGATACAAAATCAACTCAAAAAAATTCAGAAGCCCTCCTGTATACCAAAGACAAAAGGGCCAATAAAGAAATTAGGGAAACTACACCTTTCACAATAGACACTATAAAGTACCTTGGAGTGACTCTAACCAAGCAAGTGAAAGACCTGTTTGAAAAAAAAAAAAAAAAACAAAAACAAAAACAAAAAACAAAAACTTGAGGTCTCCGAAGAAAGAAATAGATGATGATATTAGAAGGTGAAAAGATCTCCCATGCTCATGGATCAGTAGAATTAACATAGTGAAAATGGCCATCCTGCCAAAAGCAATCTATAGAATCAATGCAATTTCTATCAAAATACCAACTCAATTCTTTACAGACCTTGAAAGAAAAATTCTCAACTTCATATGGAAAACAAAAAAATCCAGAATTGCCAAAACGATCCTGTACAAAACAGATGATCTGAAGGTATGACTATCCCTGATCTCAAGCTGTACTACAGAGCAATAGTAAGAAAAACAGAGCTAAACAGTTAAAAAGCAGCAAATCAAGTAGTCCAATTAAAAAATGGAGTACAGAGCTAAACAGTAAATTCTCTGTAGAGGTATATCGAATAGCAGAGAAACACTTATAAAGAAATGCTCAATGTCCTTAGCCATCAGGGAGATGCAAAACAAAACGACCCTGAGATTTCATCTTACACCCATCAGAATGGCTAAGGTCAAAAACTCAAGTGACAACACATGCTGGAGAGGATGTGGAGAAAGGGGAACCCTCCTCCATTGCTGTTGGGAATGTAAACTTGTACAACTACTTTGGAAATCAATCTGGTGATTTCTCAGACTGTTCAGAATACAGCTTCCTCCTTGGCATATATCCAAAATATGCTCAAGTACACAACAAGGACATTTGCTCAACCGTGTTAATAATAGCAGGTTGGCCAGAATCTGGAAACAACATAGATGCCCCTCAGTTGAGGAATGGATATAGAAATTGTGTTGCATTTACACAATGGAATACTACTCAGCAATTAAAAACAAGGAAATCATGAAATTTACAGGCAAATGGTGGGACCTAGAAAAGATCATCCTGAGTGAGGTATCCCCGAAGCAGAAAAACACACATGGTATATACTCACTTATAAGTGGATATTAGACACAAATGTCTACAAGCAAGAAGGAGGACCCTGGGTACCGTGATCAATCCTCACTCAAAAAGACAAACAAGATGGACATTGGAAGAAGGATAAAACAGGAAACAGGACAGGAGCCTACCACAAAGGGCCTCTGAAAGACTGCCCGGCAGTATATCAAAGCAGATGCTGAGATGCATAACCAAACTTTGGGCAGAGTGCTGGTAATATTATGAAAGTAGGGGCAGTTAGCAAAACCTGGGGAAGGACAGGAACTCCACAAGGAGAGCGACAGTAACAAAATACCTGGGCACAAGTGTTCTTTTCTGAGACTGATAGTCCAACCAAGGACCATTCATGGATATTACCTAGAACCCCTGTTCAAGGGTCCAAGTGGGTTCCATAGTAATTGGAACAGGGACTGTCTCAGACATAAACTGATTGGCCTACTCTTTGACCACCTCCCCCTAAGGGGGGTGGGGACAGCATTGCCAGGCCACAGAGGAGGACAGTGCAGCCAGTCCTGATGAGACCTGATAAACTTGGGTCAGATCGAAGGTGAGGAGGGCCTCTACTATCAGTGGACTTGGAGAGGGGCATGAGAGAAGAGGGACGGTGTGGTTAGGAGGGAATAAAGGAGGGGGGCTACAGCTGGGACACAAAGCGAATAAACTGAAATAAAATAAAAAAATTGTACACCTAAAGAAGCTAATCAAGAAGAAGGACCCTGGGTAAGATGCTTAATCCTCATTCAGAACTGCAAAGAGGGTGGATTTCAGAAAAGGTGTAAAACAGGGAACAGGACAAGGGAGTACCACAGAGTGACTCTGAAAAACTCTCCCCTGCATAGTCAGATGCTGAGACTCATAGCCAAACCTTGGGCTGAGTGCATGGAATCATGAAAGAAGGGGGAGATAGAAATACCTGGAGAGTCAGGAGCTCCGCAAGGATAACAACAGAACCAAAATATCTGGGCACAGGGGTCTTTTCTGAGACTGATACTACAACCAAGGACTATTCATGGATATAACCTAGAACTCCTGCTGAGATGTAGCCCATAGCAGCTCAGTATCCAAGGTGGGTTTCCTAGTAATGGGAACAGGACTGTCTCTGACTTAAACTGATTGGCCTGCTCTTTGATCACCTCCCCTTCATGGGGGTGCAGCCTTACCAGGCCACAGAGGAAGACAATACAGCCACTCCTGATGAGACCTAATAGCCTAGGATCAGATGGAAGGGGAAGCGGACCTCCCCTAACAGTGGACCGGGGCAGGGACATGGGGGGAGACTGGAGGGTGGAATTGGGAGGGAAAGAGGGAGAGAGCTACAGCTTGGTTTCAAAGGGAATAAATTGTAATGAATAAAAATAATATATTGATATAAAAAATCAAATAAAAAAATAAAGGTGCCCTTTGTACTGCGATTTCTCTTCCTTCTTCCCCACCTAGTTGCAAAGTTCTTGTTTCACATCTCATACAAATCATTCAACCTGTATCCGTACTGCCCATTTTATAAAAAAAGATGGTTGCAGGAAGCAGCACATACCTACTCTGTGTCTCTAGTGGATTTTTCTCTTTCTTACTGTAACTCCTTAGTGATTTTTTCATTTCTGTAAAGCCAACATGTACAAAACCACTTTAAATTTTCTGACTTAATTTGGCTGGAGATTTGAACATATGTATCATTGCACTTCAGGAAAACTTAGTTTGTCCAAGTTGTTCTACTAGCCATTTAACACATATAACCACAAAGCAGATACCTGATCTAATCATGTTCCCTCCTTTATTTAGTGTTCCCAACCATCTTCTTTGGAAGAAACTTTTTCAGTTTCCTATTACATAAACAATTCTGTTATGGATCAAATGTAGTCTAATCTGTTTTTCACAGTCCTTCAGAATTCTGACTCCTGCCTGTCTCTCCAGTTCCCTTGGTTGACAGTTTTTTCTCATCCTCCTTTTTGCTGACAATCCAGTGATACTGAAATGTTTGCTTCTTAAAAATACCATCTTTTCTCTTTTATCTGTTTGATAAAAATATTCATATTTCCTGATACTTCCTTCCTATGGCCCTTGACTTCAAAGTTTTTCTGTTTAACCTTCAAGACCTCTTGTCCAGGAACTTTCTACAAGAAGACTTTCCTAAATTACAGATTTTAATTGCATTATTTGACTCTTTTCTCTTTTTGCTTATTGTGTTTGAGTCATTATTTGCACATGTGTTGTGGCTGGAGCATGGCGGTCAGAGAACAACTTGCAGGAATTGGTTCTATACTTACATCATGTGGGTTCTGGAGATTGAGATTGAACACAGGCCGTCACATGTATCAGTAGGTGCCATTAACCAGGGAGCCATCTCCTCAGCCTTGTGAGTGTTTTTAAGATCAAGGATTGAAATGTTAGCAATAGCTGAAGACATCCTAAATTGAAACAACTCAACTGTCTGTGCTCTAGGGTTAATTGTTAGATAATCCTTGTTTCTATCAGAGCACTTTCATAAGGTTTAAGTAGTTTTAGACTTACACTTCTAGCTTTTATGTTCCTATCAAGTAACTTCAGTGATTTGAACTTATTAATGTTCAGTTATCTCAAAGTTTTCTCTGATGTCCTCTTTACTGTAGATATGTCTGAGTTTGTATTATTCAGAAATGCTGAATAACATCATGAGAGCAATACTGTGTTTTTTTATATTAGGCTTGATTTTATATAATAATGTATTTTTATACAAATTCTACACAGCCATAAAATATAGTTTTATATCTGTATTTAAACAAAAAAATCAGTTTAGTTGCTTTCTATTTATTCTGTATTGTAAGGATAATGTAGTAGTAAGGTGATTTTTGTCTCATTTTAGCTGCAAACATTCAAGACTGCCTCACCTTGTCAAGATGTCAAACAGCTTACTAATGGAGTGACCATGGCACAAGTTCTTCATCAAATGTGAGTAGTGACGAAAGTATTCCTCATTAGAATGTAAACCCAGTGGCAGTTGAAACACTTGTATAAAAGTGATTGAAGTCTCATCTTATCCAGTTGACATAGTCAGACATGGAACCAGGGCATCCTTTCAGCTAGGGAACAAGAGCATTTTACAACCTCATGGCTCCTTGCTTGTTTATAAAGATGCATATAAACCAAATAATTGATAGATTCATATATCATTTAAGAGAAAATGGAAATGAATGATAAACTTGTCTGCATTTCCTGCAGATGCAGATTGACTCTTTACATGGAGATTCTTAGATACTGTTAATACAGAAAATTCTGCATTTGGAAAAAGAATTGCATTAAAAATCTAATATTGAAATAATAGTAATTTATTAGTCCACCAGTAATCATGGTAAGTGAATGGACTTTGAAGTTACAAAGCATGGTCAAGACTTTAGTAGTGAAGATTCTAATCTCAGGTTTATGATTTTGCATTTTGAAAATTATCTAATTTAATATGTACATTTTGTATTAACTCAGAACATGTTAACATATATTTTGTCATTGAAAAATACTCTACTTTATAGTATTAGACGTCTTATTTATATCTTGTTTAAAATGATCTACTTGGCCAAAGCCATGCAATCGCAATATGGTACTTCTTGATTTGAGGATATGATCACTGCTTAATGATGGAATATGTATCTTGCTGCTTTCATTGAGATACTTTTTAGTTAGTATGAATAAAAAACATCTATCCATCCATTCACTTACAGTGCTTTCTTCACATTCATCCACCCCTAAATCTGCCCCATTTTTTTCCCGTTTTTTTGTTTTGTTGTTGTTTGGTTTCTTTGTTTTTGTTTTCTTTTTTACACCGAGTTTCATTCTTCATTTTTATCTAGACTTGCTAGAGTGGTCTGGAGTTTACTGTGTAGTCCAGGCTGCCCTCAAACTTAAGGGCTGTCCTCCTGCTTCATCATCTAGACTGCTAACATACTTGGCCAAAAACATCATTTCTGTTTGTATTGATGAGCTTTAATGGCTTTATGCTGTAGGGCCTTTTCTTAGTGTGTTGTGTGTGGCTGTATTATCTCCTAGAATCTCCAGCACTGTTTGGAGTAGCACCAGGCGCATTTTATCTAAATGACATGTGGTATCTTTATCAACAGCTTTAACATCTTTGCTCTCTCTCTCTCTCTCTGTGTCTCTGCATGTCTCTCTTTACTCGTTTACTCGTGTGTGTGTGTGTGTGTGTGTTTGTGTTATTGTCTTCTAATTGTTTTTATTTTACATGGAAAATAAAATAGTTTAGCTAAGGTTTCTTCACTAAATAAATGACCAGTGACCTAAATTAGGTCCAAGCCAGTCTGTCTTCCTTTCTCCACCAACATTACCTAACTTGTTTCATTTGCCTGTTTTAATGTATTCCTTGATATTTTAGTCTCCTTGTCATCTAAGGAACCTTCATTTTGTTTTTTGTTTTTTTTTCTCTCTGATAAGCCATTTATTAACTTTTGTATCAGTATGAATATCTTTTATTTTACCCTAGAATGCTAGCATTCAGGGAGGTGTAAAGTGGCAATGGTAAATTTCGGTATCTAGTCTCCCATAAGTACCTGCTGCTCTACTCCTGATTCTATTAGGAGTAGAGTAGTTTGTATTTTGGGCAGTAAGACATCCAAGAATACATTTTTTCTTATTTGGTCAGAGTATTATAATTCCAATAAAAAGGCTGATTCCATTATATTTCTTTGACTGTTTCAAAGCACTGTATTTGTTAACATAATAAATTGTACTGTTGATTCATATCAAATCACATAAAACTTATTAAATGTTAGAACAATCATTTTTGCTTATGAGGTAGGTAGGCTTCTATATAAAAAGATCTTAAACAGTTGTTTAAGTTATAAGATTAGTCATGGGAGCCATGGACTTAGTGATAGGTTCTGTAGTTCCTTTTCTTTAGCTTGGTTATGTAGTATGTGCATCTCTTTTAAAAATTCATTTGGAAGGTTCAACTGTGGGAAAAAAACAACAAAACACTGGGGGAAAATACACCCGTAGCCGTGTTAGTTTTCTAGGGTTGCTGTAAGAGTGCCACAGGCTGTAGCTTAACACAACATAACCTCGTTCCCTTACAGTTCTTGTAGTTCGAAGACTAAATCAAGCTGTTAAATGGGCTGACCTCCAGAGCTTCAGAGAGAGAGGATCTTCCTTTCCTTTTTCAGTTTCTGGTAGTCCTGGGTATTTCTAGAGTCACTGTGCCTTTGTTCGGCTTTCCTGTGTTTGCACCTTTGTCTGTTCCATTTTAAGGGCACTAGTATTAATGGACCCATTCTAAGTCAGTGTGATCTCTTCCTACCCTGATTGATTCTGTGAAGACACTGTTCCTAAATAAGGTCACATTTGTAGGCATAGCGGTAAAAGAAACATATCCTTTTGGGAAATGTGGTTCTACATAATACTACCAAGAATATATTCCACTTTCCCTGAAGATAGGCATAGCTTTGTCACTGACCAACTGTACAGTATTTGCTTGTTTTTATTGTATTTGACTGGGTCTCTTTTGCAAAGAGGAGTGTGGTACAGCATTGAAATAGTAAGGCTTTAGTCATCACAAATTCATTTTTTTTCGTTTTGTAGGTATTTGAGCAGATAGCCGACATCAGGGTACTTACTAGCTATATCGTGATAGGTCCCATTTTATGGGTTATTTGTGTGTGTGGTTGTCCATTTACATGCTTATGGAACCAAAGATTGGTGTCAAGTATTTTCCTCGATCATTCTTTACCTTATTTTCTGGAACAGGCTAATGTATGACGTGGAGCTCACCATTTTGGCTAGGCTAGTTGGCAGTGAGTTCCCAGGATCCACACATCTTTGCCCCATCCCCTCCCATCTCTCGGTTACTGCTGCACTCAACTTTTATATGGGAGCTGCAGGTCTGAACTTAATACACATGCTTATGCACTGAGCCATCTTCCTAGCCCTCATTTGAGATTGTTGTTTTGTTTCTATAAACTGGGTATTACTATTTTTTTGTCCAGTGTATCCCTGAGGACTGAGGGTATAAAGAGCTAACAGTCAAGCAGTGAAGCTGGGATTTGTGTTAGTTTAGTTTGACTCCAAAAACAGTGTTTTCACTCAGCGGTAACAATAGAAAGTCAGAACCTTGAGTCCTGATCGATTTTTCAAGAATAGTCTAGGGGCATTGATCCTCCAGTTAGCTGCTTAAATTCTTGAAGACATATTCTGGAAAGAATTAAACAGAATAATATGATGATTTTTGCTTAGTTTTATTAGAAAATAAACAGACTGAATTTTTCTTCACCAGCCCTGCTTTCAGTTATTTGTGCCTTTTATTTTCTCTAGTAGCTATTTCTCTAAGAGTCAATAAGTAATCTTCATATTGGTTTTGCTCAGTACCTTAGACAGGTTTCCAAGTACTCTAGATTATAGTCTGTTAATGTGCTTTGTATATGTAGCATGTTTAAAACCTTGTTAAATTAATAACATTTTTGTATAATGGTTATTTGTCTTGATCTTCAATATAAACATTAGGACCTTATTTCTCATGAAAATAAATTTTCTTTAGTGTTTGGGGTTTGGCATGTACCAATATATTTGAGGCAAATTGCTTTGCCTTTTTCTTTTGTTCCTTAAACAGGGAGACTGAACATAGCATATCCTTTGCCAAAGTACTATGATATTTAAATAAAGTAATACCTCACACAGAGTTAGTGCCTCATACATAGTAGACACTTCAGAGTACTGGATTTCTTTGTACTTCTTCAGGATTGGTAATTTATATCATCTACTAACAATGCCTAATGCTAAATGTTTAGTGTTTGTTAAATTGCAGTTGTTAATGACTTAAAGAGCTTAAATAGGAAAAAAAAATTTCAATTTATAATTTTTAGAATCACCAAAAGATGAGTAGCTTCATTTAAAATATTGCTAATCTCACTATGGATAGATCTTAAACTGTAAATAAATTAAATAATTAAGATGCTATAAACCATTTTAAAGTTTAGTCTTTATATTTTTGTTTTAGTGACGTAGCTTGGTTCAATGATTCTTGGTTAAGCCGAATTAAAGATGATGTCGGAGACAACTGGAGAATAAAGGTATGCAGGAATAGGGTGGGGTACATGATGCAGGAATAGTGGCACTGTGCTCAACTCCATATTTTTAGTTAACACATGCTGTGCTAGTCAGTTTTTGTCAACACGATACAAACTAGAGTTACCTGGGAGAAGAGAAGCATAATTGAAGAAGAAATGCTTCCATCTGATTGGCCTGTGGGCATGTCAGGTTGTCGTTTTCTTGATTGTTGATTGATGTGAGAAAGCCCAGCAGTGCCACCCCTGGGCAGGAGGTCCTGGGAAGTTTCTGAAAGCAGGCTGAATGAATGTACCTGAAAGCACATCATTAAGCAGCTATCCTCCAAGGTTGCTGCCTTGGCTGCTGCTTGAGTTCTTGCCCTGACTTCTTTCAGTGATTGACTGTGATCAGGACTTGTAAGCCAAATAAGCCCTTTCCTCCCCAGTTTGCTTTTGGCCATTGTGTTACCACAGCAACAAGGAAGTAACTAGGACATTTAAGTTTATGCATAGATGAATATCATCGTATAAATACAGAGTTTTCTGTCAACCAAGAGCATATTCTTTGGTCTCTATCCTCACCCAGTGACTGGCCTCTGATGACCATACATTTGCTTTGTGTCACTAGAATTCTGTATAAATGAAACCAAACACTATGAACTATTTGTGTCGGTGGACTTCATTTATTCAGTGTAATGATTTTGAGATTCGTCTGTGTTGCCTGTATTAAAATTATGGCTTTATTGTTTTGTATTAGAGTGATATACCATATCACTGTTCACATGATGGAATATTTGAATTATTTCTAGGTTAGGCTATGGTAATGAACTTCACACATGAATCTTTGCTTAGACAATTTCTTTGGAAGAAATTCCTTGGTGGAATTGCTGAATTGTATACACAATATGTTTAGTGTTATAAGAATCTGGAAAAATAATTTTGTTCTTAAAACCATTTTGTTGCTGTTAGTTTCCTTGTGTCTTGTGGGGGCTTTTGTTTCATTAAGGATATCTGATTTGTGTCATAGTTCTTAACAGTGCTACTGTAGTACGATGCTAATGAACATATATATATATATATGTATATATATATATATAAAATCTTTTAAAATTAGTTATTATTTTGTATAAGTGTTTTGTCTGCATGTATGTCTCGGTTACATGTGCATGCCTTGTATATGCAGAAGTGAGAAGAGAGCATTCAGTCCCCTGGACCTGGAGCTACAACTGCTTGTGAGCTGTCATATTGATGCTGGGAATTGAACCCTGATCTTCTGGAAGAGCAGGCAGTGTTCTTAAGCATTGAGTCTTTTCTTCAGCCTATGTATATGATCTATAAATGGTGTCTTACCATTTCTTCCTGAAACTGAATTTTTTTAAAATTTTCCCTTAATAACATCTAGCTTATTATTTTTCAGTTTTATATTTTGAAAATCATTTATTTAATTGATTTCCTCATTGACTTTTTCTGTTTTTTATTTACATGTGCTTTTCTTTATCTTGCTTCTTGAACAGGTTTAGATAATATTAGACTTGTTTTCTCTCCTAGTATTAAATACTGCCTTATTCATTCCATACATTATAAAATATTTTTTTATTATTGTATATATGCTGTGTGTATGGAAGTGTACACATGCTACATTGTGTGTGTTGGGGTCAGAGAACAAATTTCTAAAGTGTCATCTTCCGTCGCATGGGTTCTTCCAAGATGGGTTCTTGGGATAAACATCAGGCCTACATGGTATGCCAGCAAGCTTGTCATCTACTGAGCTCTCTCCAGCTCACACCCTCTATACATTTTGATATACTGTGTGTTTATTTTCATTTAACCCAAAATGTTTGGTAATTTTACACATGAATATGCTTTGACATGTGGGAAAATTAGAAGTAGCTAATTCAAAATCTAAATACCTGTTATTTGTAGATTTTTGATTTAATTCCAGTTTTGCAATTAAGTAAAAATATCATACACCAAAATTAGGCAGACCCAGAGTCTATACAGTATATGTACCTAGAAGCTATGAAGCTTCACATTAAATTTTATATTTTCAACATATTTATATATTTATTCACTTACCTACTATCAGAAACGAAAATCCAAAAGAGAATTACAACTAGAAAAGCAATAAGCTTAATATCTTCTTTTCATAACTTGTTTTTTACCTGCATTTGGTGGGTTTTTTTGTTCATAAATTTTTAAAAAAATAAACCCTTTGTCCTAGGAATATACCTGCAGTTAGAATATTGTATGTTTACAGTTATTTACTTTCTCATTTATATTGTGTCTTAGTGAATGCTCCAAGTGCAACTGAAAACAATATATATTTTCAGTTATTCACAAAAATTATGTTGTGCAAAACTTGTTGACAGTGCAGTATTTTATGTATATTCTGTTTATTTTTCTGATCAACTACATAGGGAGTCATCCTTAAGTCTCTACTGATGATTCTGATGTTTCTTTTCAATTCTGGTAATTTTTATTTCATATATGTATTTTGAATTTCTATTATTAGTTTTATTACACATATTTCTTTCTTGGTGAGGAATTTGATAATGTTTTGCTATTTTTACTGGATATGTGATTCTCACCTTTGTGTATGTCTTTCATTATTAACATGAAACATTGATTTCTTCTTTTTGTTCTACTTTAGGCTAGTAACCTAAAGAAGGTCCTCCATGGAATTATAAGTTACTATCATGAGGTACAAGAAACATCTGATTTTAAACAAATGCCATTTGCATGACTTTTTAGCATTGTATTTTAATAAAATTCATAATTGTAATAATTATATTGTCATTTGCAGAGCACTCATAACTTCTAAAAATCGGGAAGTTTAAGGATTAAATGCAATAGATTTCCAAAGGGGGGAAAAAGAAAGAAGATAGCTTTCATTTTGATACTCTAAATTGGTTATTTTCACAGATAGAATTTGTTGCATAATATTGGTAGCCTTTGAACTGATTTTGTTAGTAAAGAATTTTTTTCTATTTTTAAACATTACAGAAAAAAATTTGAAAGTTTCTTGGAAAAGTTTTAATACTGCTATGAGAATTTTCAATGTGTTACATGCCCAGAGTCCTTAGAAACTTAATAAGTTTCAAGAAAATAAAGAGAAGGCCAGAAAAAGTCAAAACTATTGGCTTTTTTATTTATTTGCAGAAGTACACTGGTTTATGCTGTGAATCTAAGTGATACATACTATCACAGACTTTCTTCAGATAGTCTGGCTTCTCCTTCAGGTTGTCTATGTAATTTTGCATGCATTAGTCTTTTGCTCTAACATAATCCTTTTTACTGCTTCCCAAGATAAGCATTTCTGTTATTGTAATGTAGCTTGGGTCCTCCATAACAAATCCTTGTTTTTCTGATATGAGGTCAAATAAACATCAAACACAATTGACCAGGATATTGAGAATTGACCAGAATATTATTGACTTGGTTTTAGTCAATATTACTGGCTTGTGATTTCTTAATTCATGGAATTATTTTGAATTAATTTTTAAAATAATAATGCAAATTCTTTGTAGCCTATGTAAATGAGTAATCCAATTTATTATTTTAATTCTTCAGTTTTTGGGGCAGCAAATTTCTGAAGAACTTATCCCTGATTTAAACCAAATAAGTGAGTGTTCAGATCCTGTGGAACTTGGGAGGTTGCTTCAGCTTATTCTAGGCTGTGCAGTCAACTGTGAAAAGAAGCAAGGTAAGTGAGATCTAGTCACTTGAGGTTCCCATTTTCTAGAAACAATCTACATTACTAGCTCTCAGTGCTGACATTAACAGGAAGGTGTTATCTTCCTGCTGTGTGGCTGAATCACTCTGCAGTATATACTAGATATAAGTTCTAGACTCCCTGTCATTAGCAATGAATGCGGCAGCTCTTGGCTAACTGTATTCTGGTGGTTGGTGGCTAAATGAAGCATGTTTGAAACTGTCATTTCAACTGTTAAAACAGTTGAAAAATCTGGACATACTGGGTTGACAGTAAGATACAATTTTAGGTTCATTTAATTTTTTAAATTTTTATTTCTATATTAATTATAATTTATTCACTTTGTATCCCAGCTGTAGCCCCCTCTCTTCTACCCTCCCAATCCCATCTGCCCTCCCTCATTTCCTCCTATGCCCCTCTCCCAAGTCCATGGATAGGGGAGGTCCTCCTCCCCTTCCATCTGACCCTAGCTTATCTAGTCTCATCTGAACTGGCTGCATTGTCCTCCTCTGTGGCCTGGCAAGGCTGCTCCCCTGGTTCATTTAATTTTTAATAAAAAAATATTCAGCTCATAAATTTTTATAATCCCAACTTTTTCAAATAGTTGCTGCTCTGTTTAGAACAAAACTGTCTACCTTTTTCTTTTGAGAAGTGGGACAGTGATATTAATGGAATTGGTACATTACACTAATAAATATATTATAACAGCAATTACATTAATATATATAAGTAATCTTATGTGCTTCTGAGCACAAGTGTCATAAAAGTAAACTGAGTAGACTTGAGTCTCCTTTCCAGTGGGAACTTGGATCAGTTTGAGCGGGAACAGCTTTGACACTGTTTCTGTGTATTTTGCCCAAAGCTTGCTCTTACTGTATCTCCTTCAGGAAATCATCTGCATGTTCAAGAAAAGGATACAAGACAAGTTAATTCAATAAGACCAAGCTCAAGAAATATAAAGTAACAAGAAATTAACTGTAGTTTATAAAATACACATACACACCCCATACAATTTTCCTATTCCTGCATTTGCCATATATGCATATATGCATACCTTTTCACACTTTTTACAGGACAAGTGATCTCTTTTTCTATATTAGTGTCAGGGGACATTAAAGATATTTATTTTTTGGTTTGTTTGTTTCTTTTTTTTTTTTTTTTGTAATGATTAAGAATTTTTACGCATTCAGGTTAAAATGCCCTAGTTGTAATAATTTGAAAAGGAATAGTTTAGGTTTAAATCTAGAATATTTTGTTACTGTTGTTCTTTTATTTTTTGATTAATACTTTTCTTCTGTTTTGGTTTCTGGTTAGTTTTAACATTTCTGCCTAATTTATGTTTCCATAAATTATGTTTCAAAAATAATTCATCTTTGGAGACATAACATTTTGCTTTGATTCTATTTCATTTTAGTGTTATTTAATTTCTTGTATTGCATTCTACCATTTTCTTGTGAGTGCACCATGCTTATATTATAAGCCATAATTGACCGTTTAAGCTATAATTTCCCCAGTGTTAATGATTTTGTTGTACCCTGAAAATTTTAATACACTATCTCATTCATAATTTACCCTAAGCATTATTAATTGTTCTTGTCTTCATATTTTTAAAAGGAAATTCAGTCACTAGATTTGCAAGTGATAGTTTAATAAGCAGTACACATAAAGAAACAGTTTAACTTTCAAAATATTTGTCTGGGTTAAAAATTAGGTTTGACTAGTTAAATAAAAACTACTAGTAGGATGAGGGTGTGGTTTAGTAGTAGAACTCCCATTTATCATATGCAAAGCCCTGGATTCCATCCTCAGAACTGCCGATGGAATCAAAGTAAAAAGAAAAACAGTTCACAAAAAATGAGCCCCTAAATTCAAGGTTATAAAACAACTTCTGTATTTTTGCACTTTAAAATGAGATTGGATGACTATTAAGAATACTCTTCTCAAAGGGGAAGGCAATTTTCATGTAGATTTCAGCAGACTTGAAGCATCCAGCATATTAAAGGAAACCAGTACGTCTTTGGTACGTTGTTCAGTTAATTATTTTTCTCCTTAGTATTTAGTGGTCAAGTGCATAACCTTTCAGACTCTTAGCATCACAAAGGAAAGGGAGATTTAGAGGACCTGTCGGGAGCTTCCAAAAGGATCAGGAAACGTAAAAGTATTGGATACATTTGAGGGCTGTGGTTGGGTCACAATCACACTAGTTGAAGTGGACGTAAGTCGGCTGGTATCTGAGGCATTCTCTGAGTAAGATCATTTCTTGTCAGGGTGAGTTGCCTTTGCTTACTGCATATGTTTGTGGAAAGGTTTAGATCTTTGCGAATTAATGGATGCTGAGCAGATACTGCAGAAAGCTGCATGTGTACCTATGAATGCAAATGGTACAACAAAATTTCTGGATCTAAAATTGGATAGTTATTATCAATTGTCTTAATATTACTTGCAGTATTTTTATTTTACTTTAAAAACCCAAAGGGGAACTGGAGAGATGGCTTGTGGTTAAGAGCACTGGCTGCTCTTGGAGAGGTCTTGAGTTCAATTCCCAGTAACCACATGGTGGCTTACAACCATCTATAATGGGATCTGATTCCCTCTACTAACTTCAGGTGTATATGCAGACAGCATTCATATAAATAAATAAACCTTAAAAAGAAAATAATAGAAAAAAAGGTTTTTTATTTGGCTAAAAATTTTACATTACTAAGGTAAGTATTTTCATCTTTTAATGGACTTATTAGTGAATTAGTTTAGTGTACTTGCATGAAGGATCATTTATGCTTACTTAATTTTCACACTTTGATTATTATATAGAACAGATTTTATGACGTTTAATTTTTTAAATTACAGAACATATTAAAAATATAATGACCCTGGAAGAATCTGTTCAACATGTGGTCATGACTGCCATTCAGGAGGTAAGTGATGCCACGCTCACATGAGTGTGAAGACCCAAGTGATGTAAGGCTACATGTAACTTTCTAACAATTAAAAATATGGTTGAAAGCCTTTAAGTTCAGTTTTAGGGCCCATAATTCTAAAAGCGAGTTGATAATTAGTATTTCAAAATACCGAACTCAGACTCTCATGAGATTGTGTGCTCTAGCACGGAGCTAAATCCTCAGACCCTTAAAGTATTTTTCACTGATAAGAACAAAGTAGTCAACTCTGCTGCATGTGGGACTTTCCACTTCTCTTCTTGTAAGCTGGAACTGTCTTCCTGACACTCTTGTGTATCTATCACATACATTTAGAACTTTAGACTTGTGAAAACTTAGATTTTGGAGCCAAATAACCTGAATTTAGGACTATGATTACATCATACATAATAGAAAGGATATCAGATTCTTGGGATACAGTATTGGCTCTTAATACCAGTTATAAATCTTGGGTGAAAAGTTAATATATGAGATATGAGTTATTTTTTTTTAGGAGGACCAATGCATTCTAGTCCTAGCTATTACAGGAGGATCACAAACTTGAAACCAGCTTAGTCTACCTCATAAGACCCCTGATAGGAAAAGCAAAAAATAAAAGAAATGAAATAGTTCTCCATTTAAAAAATGATTTGTATTAATAGTAATATATCTCCTAAAACTTGGATTTTAATTTATTTTTAATATTTTCACTAACATACTTAAAGGTTCTTATTTGGTTTTATCTAATAAAATTTTTATCTGATTAATGTTCTAAAATCATTAAATTAAAGCAAGATAAGTTAAATATAAATCAGTTTACTTTCAAGTAAATAGATTATCATAAACATTGCACTATTGTATTTACCTTGGCTATTTTCGCTCTTCTAGTTGATGAGTAAAGAAATAGTGAACTCTCCTGCAAGTGACACTGTTGGAGACTTAGAGCAGCAGGTAAGATTTCATTGTGGGAGGAGATGGTTGACAACGGTGACATGATTCCTCTACCAGTTATTTTAAAAGGTTTAAAGAATAATTTTTGTTTATTTCTGTGAAACTGAATCTGATTTGCTATAAGATCACACTTGGGTACTAATATGTATTTCGTTCCTTTTATGTCCATTCTGATTTCTTTCATTAAAAAATTATTATTTGCTTTACATCCTTATCACAGCCCCCTTCCCTCCTTTCCTCCCAGTCCCACCTTCATACCCCCCTCTCTTTCCTCTTCTCTGAGAAGGGAAGACACTCCCCCCCACGGGTACCAACCTCTCCTGACACATCAAGTTTCAGCAAGACTAGTTGCATCCTCTTCCACTGAGGACAGAGAAAGCAGTTCAGCTAGGAGAAAGGGATTCAAAGTGAGTCAACAGAGTCAGCGACAGCCCCCTCTCCCACTCCAATTGTTATGGGACCCAAATGATGACCAAGCTGCACATCTGCTACATATGTGTAGGAGCCTAGGTCCAGCCCATGCATGCTCTTTGGTTGGTGGTTCAGACTGTGAACTCCCATAGGCTCAGGGTAGTTTACTCTGTAGGAGTCCTTGACTCCTGCTTTTGTTTCCATCAGCTGCTGGATGAAGCCTCTCAGAGGACAGTTATGGTAGGCTTCTGCCTACAAGCATAGTGTAGCACAGTATCATTAATAGTGACAGGGTTGGCTCTCTCCCATGGGATGGGTCTCAAGTTAGGCCAGTCGTTGGCTGGCCATCCCCTCAATCTCTGCCCCATCTTTATTCCTGCACATCTTGTAGGCAGGACAAATTTTGGATGAAAGATTTTTGTTTTTGGATGGGTTGGTGTCCTCTTCCTTCTACTGGTAGTCAACCAGACTATAGGAAGTGGGCACTTCTGCCTTAATATCGCCCTCTATTAGAAGACTCAGCTACGGTCACCCCCATAGACTCCTAAGAGCCTTCATTTTTTCAGGACTCCGGTTCATTCCAGAGATGTCCCCCCACTGATTTCCCTCTCTCTTTCAGCCCTTTCCTACCCATACTGGGTCCCCATTCGGTTCCCCTCCTCACCTTCTCTCCAGCCCACTTCCCTCCCTTTATTCTCCTCCTATGTCTATTTAATTTCCCCTTCTGATTGAGGTTTAAGCATTCTCCTTGGGCCCTCCTTGTTACTTAGCTTTCTTTGGGTGTATGGGTTGTTGCATGGTTATCCTGTTCTTATGGCTAATATCCATGTGTAAGTGAGTACATACCATGCATGTCTTTTTGCATCTGGGCTACCTCATTCAGGATATTTTCTAGTTCCATCCATTTGCCCTCAAATTTCATGATGACATTATTTTGAATAGCTAAGTAATATTCATGTACCACATTTTCTTTATCCATTCTTTTGTTGAGGGACATCTAGGTTGTTTCCAGTTTCTGGCTATTATGAGTAAAGCTGCTATGAACATAGTTGGGCAAATGCCCTTATGGTATGGTGGAACATCTTTTGGGTATATGCTCAGGAGTATAACTGGATCTTGAGGTAGAACTATTTCCAGTTTTCTGAGAAACTGCCAACTTGATGTTCAAAGTGCTTGTACACGTTTTTACTCCACCAGTAATGGGGAAGTGTCCCCTTTCCTCCACATCCTCACCAGCATGTGCTGTCATTTGAGTTTTTGATCTTAGCCATTTTGATGAGTATCAGATGGAATCTCAGAGATGTTTTGATTTGATAACTAAGGATGTTGAACATTTGTTTAAGGCTTCCCAGCCAAGATTCCTCTGTTGAGAATTCTGCTTACTTCTGTACCCCATTTTAATTGGGTTATTTAGTTTGTTGGTGTTTAGTTTCTTGAGTTCCTTATATATTTTGGATATTAGCCTTCCTTCAGATGTAGGGTTGGTGAAGATCTTTTACCAGTTTGTCATCTGCCATTTTGTTCTATTGACAGTGTCCTTTTCCTTGAAGAAAAAGCTTTTCAGTTTCATGAGGTTCCATTTATTGTTGATCTTAGTGCCTGAGCTGTTGGTATTCTATTCAGGAAGTTGTCTCTGTACCCATTCTTTTCAAGGCTCTTCCTTACCTCTCTTCTAATAGATTTAGTGTGTCCATTTTTTATGTTGAGGTCTTTGATCCACTGGGACTTGAATTTTGTGCAAGGTGATAAATATGGATCTATTTGCATTCTTCTACATTCCAATGTCCAAGTTAAACCAGCACTGTTTGTTGAAGATGTTTTCAGTTTTTCATTGTATGGTTTTGGCAGGTTTGTCAAAAATCAGGTGTCTGTAGGTATGTGATTTTATTTCTGGGTCTTTGGTTCAATTTCATTAATCACCCTGTCTTTTTCTGCCAATTCCATGTAGTTTTTATTACTATGGCTCTGTAGTACAGCTTTAAATCAGGGATGGTGATAATTTCAAAAGTTTATTTATATACACAGTTGTCCAGGAGGTCCTGGGTTTTTTGTTTGTTTGCTTGTTTTTTTTCTATATCCAGTTGAGTAGTTTTTTTTCAAGGTCTGTAAAGAATTGTGTTGGAAACTTGAAGGAAATTGCATTGCATCAGTGGATTGCTTTTGGTAAGTTGGCTGTTTTTACTATGTTAATCCTACTGATCCGTGAGCATGGGATATCTTTCTGTCTTCTGATATTGTCTTCAATTTCTTTCTTCAGAGACTTGAAGTTCTTGTCATACAAGTCTTTAACTTGCTTCATTATAGTTACACCAAAATGTTTTATATTATCTGTGGTTATTGTAATGGGTGTTGTTTCCCCAATTTCTTTCTCAGCCTGTTTTTCATTTATAGAATGGAGGGCTACTGAATTTTTTTCTTTTTTAATTTTGTATCCAACCACTTTCCTGAAGGTGTTTATCAGGTGTAGGAGTTCCCTGGTAGAATTGTTGGGGTCACTATTTTTACTGTAATATCATCTGAAAATAGTGATACTTTTGACCTCTTTCCAGTTTGTATTTCCTTTGATCTCCTTTAGTTGTCTTATTGCTCTGGCTAGAACTTCAAGTACTATATTGATATAGAGAGAGTAGGCAGCCTTGTCTTGTCCCTGATTTTAGTGGAATTGCTTTAAGTTTCTCTCCATTTAATTTGATGTTGGCTATAGATTTGCTGTATATTGCCTTTATTATGTTTAGGTATGCTCCTGTATGCCTGATTTTTCAAAGACTTTTAACATGAAGGGGTGTTGGATTTTGTCAAAGGCTTTCCAGCATCTAATGAGATGATAATGTTTTTTTTTTTTTTTTTTCTTTTCACTTTGTTTATATTGGTGGAGTACATGCAGGATGAACCACCTTGCATGCCTGGAATGAAGCCTACTTAATCATGTGGATGATGTTTTTGATGTGTTCTTGGATTTGGTTTATGCATAGTTTGTTATTTTTATTTTTTATTTTTTGCATCTATGTTCATAGAAAAAAAATTGCTCTGAAATTGTCTTTCTTCGTTGAGTCTTTGTGTAGTATAGGTGTCAGGGTGACTGTGATCTCGTAGAATGTGTTTGACAATATTCCTTCTGTTCCTATTTTCTGAAATATTTTGAGGAGTATAGTATTAGCTCTTTGAAAGTCTGGTAGAATTCTGTGCTAAAACTATCTTGCCCTGGACTCTTTGTTTGTTTGTTTTTTGTTTGTTTGTTTGTTTGTTTGTTTGTTTTGGGAGGACTTTTAATGATTGCTTCTATTTCCTTTGGGGTTATAGATCTATTTAAATTGTTTACCTGATCTTAATTTAACTTTGGCAAGTGGTATCTATCAGGAGAATTGTCCATTTTGTTTTCAATTTTGTAAATATAGATTTTTGAAGTAAGACCTAATGCTTCTTTGAATTTGTTAATTTGAATACTGTCTGTCTGCCTTTTAGGTATTTTGGCTAAGGGTTTGTCTATCTTGTTGATTTTCTCAAAGAACAAGCTCTTAGTTTTGTTGATTCTTTGTATTATTCTCTGTTTCTAAGTTACTGATTTCAGCCCTGAGTTTGATTATTTCATACCATTTACTCCTCTTGGGTGTGTTTGCTTCTTTTTGTTCCAGAGCTTTCAGGTATGCTGTTAAATTGGGTATAAGAACTCTCTAATTTCTTTATGAAGACACTCAGTACTATGAATTTCCTTTTTAACGATGCTTTCATTTTGTCCCATGAGTTTTGGGTATGTTGTGCCTTCATTTTCATTGAATTCTAGGAGGGAAGTCTTCTAGTATTTTTCTTTATTTCTTCCCTGACCGGTAGTCATTGAGTAGAGAATTGTTCAGTATGCATGAGTTTATAGGCTTTCTGTTGTTTCTGAAATCCAGCTTTAATCCATGGTGATCTGGTAAGATTCAAGGGATCATTTCAATTTTCTTATATCTGTTGAGGCTTGCTTTTTGACCCTCAGTTTTGGAAAATGTTCGTGTTTGGATGAAATGGTCTCTCAGATAAATTTTACTCATAACATTGGTTAATTTCATTATTTCTCTCTTTAGTTTCTGTCTTGATGTGTCCATTGGCGAGAGAGGGTTGTTGGAGTATCCTACTATTGATATATGGGTTTCCATGTGTGATTTAAGCTTAGTTTATTTTACAAATGTAGGTGCCTTTGGATTTGAGGCATAGATATTCAGAATTAAGGTTTTCCTTTGAGGAGTATGACATGTTCTTTCTCATCTCTTTTGATTAATTTTGGATGAAAGTATTTTATTAGATACTAGAATGACTACTCCAACTTGTTTCTTGGGGGTCTGTTTCCTTGGGAAACCTTTTTATATTCCTTTACTCTGAGGTAATGTCTATCTTTGTTGTTGAGGTGTGTATCTTTTTATTTTTATATTTTATTGTGTATCTTTTTATTGGGGAATCAATCCATTGATGTTGAGAGATTAATCACCAATGATTGCTAATTCCTGTTATTTTGATGTTGGTGGTGGTAGTGCACGCATGAGTGTGTATGTGCGTGTGTGTGGTGTCTGTGTGTCCTGTCTGTGAGTGCGTGCATGCACTTTCTTTTGGTTTTGTATCAGGAACTCTTTAGATTTAACATTTTCTTTGACTGAGTGAGGTATCAATTTCTCCAATCGTGTCTTCTATACCTGAGATTCTTCCATCTCTTGTATTCTGTTGGTGATGGTTGCATCTATAGTTCCTTTCCTTTTCCTTAGGTTTTCTGTCTTCAGGATTCTTTTAGTGTTTTGTTTTCGTTATTGCATCGGTTTCTATTTTCAGGTCTTGAACAGTTTTATCCATTTCTTTCATCTGTTTGATTTTATTTTCCTTTATTTCTTTAAGGGATTTATTAATTTTCTCTTTATAGGCATCTATCATCTTCAAAAGATTGGAAGTAAGGTTAACTTCGTATGCTTCATCTATGTTAGGACATCCAGGGCTTACTGTAGTAATGATAGCTGGACTGTGGTGGCTCTATATTGCCCTGGCTCTTGTTGATTGTGTTCTTACAATAGCCTTTAGACATCTGTTGTCCCTGGTGCTGGCTGGCCAACTGGATGGTTTTTGGGTCAGTAGGCCTCCTTGGGAAGGCAGTAAGAGATGTGGCTAGGCCGACGTAGCTCAGGGGACAGTGCACAGCTCACTGCTGGCTGTGTCCCAGAGGGACCTGACAGGGAATTGGGATTGGGGTGGGGAGCTAACCTGGATGTTCCTGGGGTCAGAAGGCCCTCCTTGGAACGGTAGGCAGAGAGGTATCCTGGTAAATGGTATTCACAGGATATAGTGCATTTCAGTGATGTTGTCTATGCCCCAAAGGACCATGTGGGCAGAGAATTTAAGTCAAAGTGTCTAACCTAGTTGTTCTTTGGACTGGCAGGCCTCCTCAGGAAGGCAGTCAGAGCTATGGCCCTAATGTCTAATTCCTAACGAATTTAAGAAGTGATAGATTTTGTGTTTTCTATGATCATGTTCAAGAGTCAGTGCTACTAAATATTCCATCTGATCCTTGATGTGGCCCATTCTACTTGGTTGTATCATTAAGCAGTAGATAATTTTTTAAAATCTGCAAAATTTTTATTATGCTTTCAATACTGATAAACACAGATAACACACACACATTCACAATTTTTATCGTTTTTGTCTGGGACTGGAGAAGTAGCTCAAAGACTCAGGAGTCTGTGACAGCACTTTCTACTAGAAAAAGGGCCCCCCTCTTCCTGTGTCTAACCTGATCTAGGTGGTCAATGGAAAGAGTAAAAGAAGAGGCCAAATGCATTTACAAGTGTTCGGCTTCAACCCACCCCCTCCAGGGGAGTAATATTAGGAATCTTAAAGAATATTTCAATTTTTTTTTTGATAAATTTGTTTAACTATAAGCATACTGTTTTTTTAATTTAGTTTTATTTGTATATTTACTTATTACAATTTATTCATGTAGTATCCCTTCTGTAACGTCCTTCCTTGTCTCCTCCAGTCCCACCCACCCTCCCTCTTCTCTTTTGCCCATTCCCTAGTCCCCTGATAGGGGAGGACTGCCTCCCCTTCTATCTGACCCTAGCTTATCAGGTCTCATCGAAAGATGGCTGCATCATCTTCCTCTGTGGCCTGGCAAGGCTGCATCCCTGGGGAAGGGGGAAGGTGATCAAAGAGCCGGCCACTGAGTTCATGTCAGAGACATGCTCTGTACCCCTTACTAGGGAAACCACTTGAAAACTGAGCAGCCTATGGGCTTCCTATGAGCAGTGGTCAAGCATACTTTTTTAAAACATATTTTCTGTAATGAAATTTAAAAATGCAATGTCTAATAAACTTTAAGTCCCAAATGTCCCAAAATTTTCGTAAAATTTAGTTTTTGCTGGACTTTATCCTAAACTATTAGTAAGATTATATATCACACCAAGGCAATCAATGAAGGCTCATTAGTTAAAAGGTGAAATTTAGACATGATTTCTAGTATCACTGTATATATGTTGACAGAAGGATTCATTGTTTTAAGTTGCTAAACATGGTCTTTTGGGAATGTTTTCTGTTTCAGCTTAAAAGGACTTTAGAAGAGCTTCAGGAGGCCATAGCAGAAAAGGAAGAGCTAAAGCAGAGGTGCCAGGAACTGGATATGCAGGTATGAACAGAGAAACCTGAGTAGAGAAGAGTTCTCTTCAATTTAAATAACTAAACTAGTAAAATGTTTTGAAGGTTGGTTTTCATTTCATGGAAGAGACATCAAAATGATCCTTCAACATTCAATTGGGAGTTTCATAAATACTTGTCTCCATTCAAAAATTGTTGGCTTTATTATTCTTTGAGAATATCATTATACTAATTGGAGAATTTCATGATGAAGATTCAGTTTTGTATGTTATAAAAATGGAAAATTTAATGTATTGCTTCCATAATAATTTTTGAATATTAAATAAAGCAATTTAATGTTGTGCTTAGTAATTAATTCATGACCCTCTAATAGAGTGTATATTTTCTCTGGTTCAACTACGTGTGTGTGTGTTTTTCTGTTCTCATTGTCATATATATGTCTTATGTAATTACTGTATTAAAGAAACGTGGCATGCTCAAGCACTGGGGCCCACTGAGTAAAGACATAGTTCAGGTATTGCACAACTTCTGGCCTGCAGCTTTAGCCATGTGCTCCAATGATGGAACTTGGATGTATTTGTTAATGAGATAGACAAAATAGTGCCATTGAAGGATTTCATTTATCAAGTAAGAAAGTATGTCTCATCTTACTTGTATAAAAAAATAATCTTAATAATTGTCAATCAACCAGGAAAAATTAGCATAGAAGTATGTGTGTTTGTTTAAGTGTGTGCTTTGTGTGTGTGTGTCTGTCTGTCTTTCTGTCTGTGTATGTATGCATATGTATGTGTGTATTTTGCATTGCTGTGTATTGAAATCAGGGTCCTGTAAGTGCATTCTGTGCTGCTGAGATACTCACCTGTACTCCTAGCAGTTTTTAATGTTGATAGTGAAGGCTCTTTTTTATTCATTTGTTGAATGACGGTGAAAGAGGGCAATGTTTCTGAATCAAGGTGAGTGTGATAATAAATCAAGATTAAAATGTTAACACTGCAAAAAAAAAAAGTACATTCAATGGCCTAAGTGATTAGAACAGCTTATGTTTTGTATCATGATACAAACTCATGTCAGTTAATAAAATCAGAGAGACAGATGACTCTGGAAGAAAGACTTGAAAAGCCATCCAGCAGTGTGCCTCCCTGCTTTCTTAAATGCTTCTGGTGTTTCTTCTTAAAACAAAATTAAAATAATCAGAAGAGAGCTTGTGATAACTTTCTAATCAGAATACAGCATCGCTGGTAAAGTAATTAGCAGTTGTGGTAGATCAATGTGGCCATTGCTGTTTAAGTGCTGCTATGGCCTCTGGTGGTGCTGCCTACTCTACCTGAGCATAAGGCTAGTGGTATGCCATTATTATGTCAATTATCTTATTATGTTTGTGTAGATAGCCCCATATCTCAAATGTTCAGAGTAGCAGTCCTTGACCTGTATTCTTTCATTGTGTCTCAGTCTGACCCTATGGTGTTTATATCAGAGTAAGTCGAGCATCTCTTACATAAATCCTTACATTTCCATTTTCACAGTAATGATCTTTTTATTGTACAATCACTTAGAATTTGTGACAGGTAGGTAGTCACTGAACTATGTGACAAGTGTGGCTGAATACATTGACTTTTGAACAGAAAGTTGCTTTTTTTGTTGTTGTTATTCACCCAGTGTCATGTTCTCAGCCTATCTGTATATCTCATTTGTATGTGTTACAAAGCAAACTGAAGGAACATTTCATTTTTAAAGTTAGATTCATGCATTTGATAGTTACAAAACAGGAATTAGTTCAGAAACTGCACTGATGGAAGACTGGGAGCTTCCAGTGAAGGAGTAGGTTAGAGTCCTGGAGGCTGTAGATGGCGCCGTAGGTAAAGCCTGAAGACCTGAGCTCAATCCTAGGAGCCTATGCAAAGGTAAAAGAAGGGAACTGACTCCAAAGATGGCCTCTAAACCTCTGGACTCAGTGAAATGCCCATCAATAATGTATGTATGTATGTATGTATGTATGTATGTATGTATGTATGTATGTATGTACATATAAACATACATTTTTTTTTACTATGAACCTAAAATGATAGCTTAGGTTGAGAAAAATAACCACATTCTGAAAATTAGCCTACACCTCAAATTGTATCTACTTTAAATTTAGATTTAGAAACATTGAATTGATCTCTCTTGTTTGATGTATTATTCCTATTCTCAGAATTCTAGTGTTGGAGGAATCCTTAAAAATAATCTCATCTGCTAGTCAAACTGTTTGATTCCTCAGTCAGAATTAGAATCGAGAACTCCTACCTCCTCAGAGGCTGTTTTGCTATTGATGTTTGTTTCTCAGGTCACTGCACTTCAGGATGAGAAGAATTCACTGGTCTCTGAGAACGAGATGATGAATGAAAAGCTTGACCAGTTGGATGACTCTTTTGACGATCCAAATACAATGGTTGCGAGGAAGTATTTTCATGCACAGCTACAACTAGAACAATTACAAGAAGAAAACTATAGGTAATATTTTTAGTAGATATTATTGTTTTATTAAACTAATATCTAAAGTGTCGTAATCATCAACAGGTGATGATTGAGAATTAGACATGCTTAGAATATTGACTAAAGTACTCTAACAAAACTAACAAATGGAGTAAGTGGTCCCTTCTGCAAAGGGTTCAGTCAGGTAAACCAAGTAGGATATGCACAATAAATCAAAAGCATTCAGCGGTATAAGCTATATGTTGGCCAGAGGCAATAAGAGTTTGGGCAGGGGTCACAGAGGCCTTGGAAAGAGTGCCCATAGAAGTAAATTGTAAATGAAAGGATGCAGATCTTAAGCTAAAAAGATGCTCACATTTTGTTCTTTAAAATACACATACTAAAACCTATAGCCCTAAAGAAGCTAAACACTAAGGAGGACCCTAAGGAAGATGCTTAATCTTCATTCAGAAGGCAACAGGATTGACATCAGAAGCCAGAGAAGACAGGGAACAGGGCAGGAACCTATCACAGGGGGCCTCTGAAAGACTACCCAGCAGGGTATCAAAGCAGATGATTAGACTTATAGCCAAACCTTGGACAGAGTACAGGGGATCTTATGGAACAGGGAAGAAATAGGCTGGGACAGGAGCTCCCCAAGGAGACCAACAGAACCAAAAAATCCGGGCCCAGAGGCCACTGCAGAGACTGCTCCAGCCAAGGACCATGCATGGAGAGGACCTAGACCCCTTGCTCAGATGTAGCCCATAGGCAGCTCAGTCTTGATGTGAGTTACCTCTGACATGGACTCAGTGGCTGGCTCTTTGATTACCTCTCCCTGGGGGGAGTGCAGCCTTGCCAGACCACAGAGATAGACCTGATAGGCTAGGGTCAAATAGTAGAGGAGGAGGACCTCTCCTATCAGTGGACTAGGAGAGGGACATGGGGGTGGGGGGAGAGGGAGAGAGGGTGAAACTGGGAAGAAATTGAGGGAGGGTGTTGCAGCTGGGATACAAAGTGAATAAATTGTAATAAATAAACAACTAGGGCTAGAGAGATGGCTCAGGGGTTAAGAGCACTGGCTCTTCTTCCAAAGGTCATGAGTTCAATTCCTAGCAACTAAATGGTGGCTTGTAACCATCTGTAATAAGGTCTGGTGCCCTCTTCTGGCTTGTAGGCACACCTGCAAGCAGCATACTGTGTGTGTGTGTGTGTGTGTGTGTGTGTGTATCTCTTTTTAAAAAAGATTTGTTGAAATAAACAGCCAAAGTTCTGATCTTTAGTAAATCTTGGTTGTTTCTGATGCGGAATTCCTCTGAGATGAATGCTGAGTCTTGTGCCAAGACCTAGAGAACAAGTGTTTTAATTGTACTTCACATATATTTCCATATCATTTCAAACTTGTAAAATAAAATTGTCAGGATATATGGAACTCCTTCCTGTGTGCTCCCTCCCTCCCTCCCTTCCTTCCTTCTTCCTTCCTTTTTCTTCCTTCCTCTCTTTATTTCTTTTTAAAAAAACCCTTTCTCTGTTTAGCGCAGACAGTATTCATGTAGGTATTCATATTTTTAGTGAGATGCAGATTTTTTAGCTCCTTCAAGCTACAACATGTTTCCTAAAAGTAGCATAATGTTGATAATTAGGAGATTTTTTTTTCACTGACGTGATGTTCCTATTTAAACCACAGAGCATTTTCAAATGCCATTAGTTGTCTCAATTTCCTTATAACTTTTCCCTATTCAAAACTGAATGCAGAATATTTCATTAGCTGATTGATGCTAAGTCTGTGGCTGTCCTCTTTATTTTGATGCTCTGCTTTGGTCAAGTCAATGTTTGTGTCTTTTATATGTAATCTTTCTTTTGATTATTTTCTTTTTGATATAGCAGTATGCCCTAGGCTGATTGTCCTTAATTTTTCTTTTTTTTAACTTTTATTTGTCTTTTTATATTAATTACAGTTTATTCACTTTGTATCTCAGCTGTCGCCCCCTCCAATCCCACCCTTCCTCCCTCATCTCCTCTCATTCCCCTCTCCAAGTCCACTGATAGGGGAGGTCCTTCTCCCTGTCCATCTGACCCTATCCTATCAAGTCTCATCAGGACTGGCTGAACCGTCTTCCTCTGTGGCCTGGTAAGGCTGCTCCCCTGTCAGGGGTAGGTGATCAAAGAACCAGCCACTGAGTTCATGTCAGAGACAGTCTGTGTTCCCCTTACTATGGTACTATGTGGAGACTGAGCTGCCATGGGGTACATTTGTGCAGGGGTTCTAGGTTAGCTCCCTTAATTTTTCATAATCTGCTAAGAAGCAATATTTATTTTACATGTTATATATATTAAAAAATAATTATCTATACATTTTTTTCTTTATCTTTGCCAATTTAAAATTTCTGTTAGAGCCAGATATAAATAAGAGGCCCAGTGAAAACTCAGAATTATTTACCTTTCACTTGTGTTTCAATATTAACAGCCAAGAGTTACCTTTTACTTTTGTTTTCCTCGTCTGAAGGTGGAATTTAACTATGTTATAATAACTTCATATCTCAGTATAAAGAAAAAGGATGGAAAGTGTATTAAAATTGTTTTTCTTATTTCAAGACTTGAAGCTGCAAAAGATGATTACCGTGTTCACTGTGAAGAACTTGAAAAGCAGCTGATTGAATTTCAGCACAGGAATGATGAGCTGACGAGCCTTGCTGAGGAAACCAGAGCCCTGAAAGATGAGATAGATGTTCTTAGGTATGGCCTGACTGCCATCGTTGTGCTACTTCTAAGTTATTGTTTAGATAATTGGAATAATTTCCAGTCTTATTAGAACTTTTAATATCATCCCTGTGCAATGATTACTTTATTACTTCTGGTCATCGTCTCTGCTCATTAATTAAAACTATGGTTTAAAGGTATAATGTTCAGTTTTTAAGGACAGCTTCACATTAGAACCCATAAACCCAAAATGATATTTCCCTTGAATTTTATAAATGATACATTTTCACATTTTGGAAAATTAAGTGGAGGTAAGAATTATGTTTCTCTTAGGAAGGGTTGTCCGAGATATAAAATGTATGCTTAGCGTCCTATCTATGAGGACAGCTTGTAGGAGTTGGCTCTTTTCCATACTGTGGGTTCTTGTAACTAAACTCAGGTGTTAGCCTAGAGGGAACCACATTCAGCTACTGGGCCTTAGGTAGGCCTCTGTTGCTGTTTTTATGTGAATTCTTTTTTCTGTTGTAAATATCCATTTGAAAAGAAATCATTAAAGCTATTAATTTGGACCTATGTGTTCTATTAAAGTGATTTGATGTTTCAGTTAATTTTTGCTTTAGCCCAGTTGCTCAGGTAAATGCAGTTCTAAAGAAAAGTGCTTTGCCAGATAAAGCTGTCAAGTGAATCAACTCTGTGAGCATATTGAATAGTTATAACTTTGCCAAACTATACGCACAGTTTTTCTGAGAACTGTAGATAGCTCATAATTATTTATTCATGCATTTTGGTACATTGTGCTAAAAGTCTATCAAACTTGAAATATTTTTATATTTGATGACTTTATCACAAAAATAATAAACTTGAAATGGTTTTAGACCTATGTCTTTTATTGTTTAGAAGATTCATTTTACAGTCCAGAAAAAAGTATGCATACATGTTTTATTATTGTAGGGCCACCTCAGACAAAGCAAATAAACTGGAGTCAACAGTGGAAGTGTATCGTCAGAAGCTACAAGATCTAAATGACCTCCGCAAGCAGGTGAAATCTTTACAGGAGACAAATATGATGTATATGCACAACACTGTGAGCTTAGAAGAGGAGCTGAAGAAGGCCAATGCAGTGCGTGCACAGCTAGAGACCTATAAGCGCCAGGTGAGGGATGTCTGAATATCTAATTGGTAAAATTACAAGCTTAATGTAATTCATTTGCTTTTTTTAGAGTGATGCAGAAGTTAAGCATCAAGTGTATAGTTCTGTGCTCCTGATGAATTTCTTCTTTCTGCAATTTTAGTTTAAAGAATGATTAAATAATCTGACATTTCTGCATCCTTCACATTTTTAACTCCTTTCTGATCTCTTCAGGTTTTCTTGTTGAGCTTTTATTGGTTGTCAGTGTTTTGGGACTCAGACAAATGCCAAGACAATAATAGAGAATATAGCTCTACCCTCAAATACTTTGTTGTGCCATTTATTAAACAACCTAGAGAAATATTAAACTAAAGCCTACTTTTAATATTTAACTTATTAATATGTTGAATTTTATGTAATTCTTATTTTGATACTCTATTTTTCTAAATACTTAGGATTAGACATTAATATTAGACATTTTATTTCCAATCAACTTTTCATGTATTCAACCCTGAAAATTTTTGAGTATCATGAACTATTTCCTTTACTTTTTTTTTTTTTTTTCCTGCCCAAAGGTTCAGGACCTTCACACTAAGCTTTCCTCTGAATCCAAAAGGGCAGATACACTAGCATTTGAAATGAAGCGGCTTGAAGAAAAACATGAAGCTTTACTCAAGGAAAAAGAGGTGATCAAAAATGTTTGATGAGAAATGTATCATTTTTTTTTTAAAGTTTTGAATTGCCATTAACTCTAATCTTTAACCTGTAACCACTAATCTGAACCCTAGTGGCATATTATAAATATATTTAGTCTTTTTTCTGAGTTCTTGCCAATTCTTTTCCGTCATTTTGGTTTATTGTAGTTACTGTTATTTTAGCTATCCTGCTGAATGTGAAGTGGTACGTTAATTTTTACTAGCATTTCTGTACTGACTAAAGACATTGACCAAGTATGTGTACGTTATGGCTGTTTGCGTGTATAGTACTTCTTATAGAAGGGCTCTTAACAATCCTTCCCATGTTTTACTTCAATCGTTTCTTTATTATGTAAGGATTTTTAAAAAATGTATTATGGATATTAAGTGTAGTGACAATTTTAGAACCTTGGTTTCTTTAGAAAACAGAAATATAAGAAATAGGTTTTTGTTTTAATCTCAGGCATAGGGATATGGGGCTGCTTTGGACGTTCCACAGCAGCTAACTAGGATTTGCCTCGTGCTCTATAGAGTCATGGTTTTGCCAGCTGCAGTGGTTTTGCCAGCTGCAGATAGTTTCTGTGATTGTGTAATATTTGGAATTCTGGGAACTTTTTTACCCTAGGGCCCTGAGAGGCATGGTTGGTGGTTGTCAGTCATTTAGGGGATTGGATGAGGTTTGTTAGTAGTCATGCTCAAAGAAGAAACAAAGTAAAGAAATTAAATTCAAGGATCTCTCTCTACCCCCTCTATCCTCCTTTCTCTCTTATATAGGGTTAGGGACAGAAAACTTGGGGATAAAGGGTGGGAAAAAGAAGAACCCACAAAGTAGCAAAGACCAGCTACAGTTAAGTCCTTTCTTAGATAACTAATTTTTAGATGTTTTCTCTGATTCTCTATGTTGTCTTTTCATGTTCATAGTGGTCTTGTTTGTAGCAGACATTTTCCATTTTCATCAAGTCACAGTATCTGTTTTTCTTCTGATTATGATTTACTTATTTACTTTCTTTCACAGGTTTTGTAGTTTGGTTCTTATATGTAGTTCATGCACTATTTCCTACATGATGTGAGGTAGTGATCAACTTACTTAATTACTTGTAGGCTACTGTCTGCTGTCCCAGGGTCATTTGTTTAAAAGACTTTTCCTCATTGATACTGTCTTGTTATAGGTCAGTGAATTGTGAAACTGCTATGGTGCACTCATGTCATAGGATATGTAACAGAAAGAGCAAAGCCTAAACATAGGACTGTATTAATAATAATGTAACCACATTGGCACGTTGGTCACAACAGTGCAAGGTATTAGTAATATAGAAAGTGGTAGTGTAAGAGAGATCAGGGAATGCAGAGAACTTGGGGTGGGTTTTTCTATTCAATTTTCCAGTAAGTCTAAACACGCCCCCACCCTACAAATAGTCTACTGCTAAAAAAAAAAATACCTATTTGACCAGAAACATAAGAGCATATATCTTGCCTTTCAGTTCTCTTACATTGATCTATATGTCTAGTTCCTGTGCTAGGATCCCACTGTCAGGCATGGTTGTTGTATCTTTTTAGTTAAGTTTTAAAATTTAAAAATTTGAGTTCTGGGCAGGCTAGGTGGCTTAGTGGATGAAAGTTGCTGTGTCAAAACTGAGAACCTGAATTTGATCTCTGGGCCCCATTTGGTGGAAGGAACTTGCACACGCATGTATGTGTGCATGCGCACTCTCACACACACACAGTTGCTGACTCCTGGTTAAGGGGGTTATAACTGCTGATAAAACAATTTTTTTTGTAGCGACTAATAGAACAGCGAGACACTCTGAAAGAGACAAATGAAGAGCTGCGGTGCTCACAGGCACAGCAAGATCACCTAAGCCAAGCTGGTGAGTCGAATAGATTTAAGTTTGTTTTTCTGATGGTTGAAATATTACTGACACACTAATCGATTTTCATTGCTTAGATGTATCTGCTACAAAAAGTTACGAAAACCTTGCTGCTGAGATCATGCCAGTGGAATACAGGTAAATTTGCACTCTTTGATAATCAATATCTGATAGTACAAATACCAGTTCTTTTTTGGCTATCTTTTTTTACATTTGCTTGTCTTATTAAAGCTTCAATAAATGCTTCATTATTTAGTAAAAGTTTGTGATCATTGAGCTGAAAACAACTTTAACTTTTTGCTCCAGCAATTTAAAAAATTATCAGACGTAAAATTTTATAAACTGGCAGAGTAACAGTTTAGTTTTTAATGACCATATCATGTATTGTATTAAAATACTTATTGTTTTTTTTTTAATTCAGAAAACTCTTAATATATAACAAATTAAAGTGAGTAAAGTAGAGTTGTCAGAGACAGTAGAAAAATACAAAATACAAATGTAGACAATCTCCCTCAGTCCATCTTTTTTCCTAGTTGATGGTGGTTTACGTTTAGGCATTTTATCTGCCCACTTGTAAAATAGACTCTTGGTTTTGGCAACAGGTAGGTTTTATTTATAAAGACCCAGATTATTCGTTGTTCAGTCTTATCTACTTAAAAACATAGTCTGCTGTTGATGCCATTCATAGACTTGTCACTGCCACCTTGAGGCCATCACCATCGTCTGATTTTAGAAGGTTTGTCATGACACTAAGAGACCTCACCCAGTAGCAGTTATTCCTCATTCCTGCCACCCCCCCAGACCTCACCTCTAGATGATCAACACCAGTTGCTTTTTATTAATATTTTTTATACAAGGAGTCTTATAGTAGGTAACTTTTAGGAATGTATACCTTTTTTTTTCCAGAGTAATTTAGACAAATAATAATGAAATTCTCTTTGGCACATTTAACTTAATAGACAGGTAGTTGTTGCTACAACAGTTTAGAAATACAGCTGAAGCAGAATACCACAAACAATGTTCTAAATTTGTTACTTGACTTTTCTTATTAGGTCGTAAGATCATGTGCTTTGTTATTAAAAAAAAATGCCTAAAATTCATATAACGAAAGTTTCTTTATTGTAGAAGTTTAGTAATTCATTTCAAGTTATAAAAGTATAAGAAGACAAAAAAATTAATAAGCCTCTGAGGAGTTTTATAAAATGAGAATTTTTTTTATTTGTTGTTGACTCAATCATTATTCTAAAATCAGCTTTTCAAAGGCGTAGAGCTTAATTTTTAGAGTGATGCTGTTGTCATTTAAAACACATTTCATTTCTTGAAAGTAGTTGCTTTGGGAGTGTGAGATTTAGAGAAGGGAGAAAGAGTAAGTTCTTATTTAATATCGGAATGAAATTTGCATTGCATCTCAATATAAAAAGTACATTATAATCTTTATATAAATCATTAATAAAATTTAAAAATATTTAAAGTATCATATGTATACTGTATTTACACCCTTTCCTGTCTCACTTCTTATTCATTACCTCTCTTTAGTTATCATTGTTATATATGTTTAAACAAATAAATCTTAACTGCTTAGGCCATTTAGTGTTGCTGATATGTGTGTTTTGGTGCCTGACCACTTGGAATTGAGTAACCAATTACAGGCTCATTTCTGGAGATTGATTCTCTCTCTGCAGCCTTTAATTGCCTGTATAATCTTTCCCTATCCAACTGATGCTGTCATTGTTCAGGTCTTGTTTAGACAGCCAAAAAGTTGAAATTTCATGCATGCAGCTTCCTTTACATATATAAAAGTAAATTTCTTAGCAGATATGTCCTGGTCCTCTGGCTCTTGAGATCTTCCCACCACCTTTTCTGCAATATTTCCTGAGACTTAACATGTAGATTGTGCTGTATGTATGAGTCGGGGCTGAGCACCCCACAGGCAGTTGTTCTCAGCATTGTGTCAAGTTCTGGCTTCCTGTAATGGTCTCCTGCAGCAGCAAAAAGAAGTTTTGGCTGAGGGGCAAGAGGTACACTTATCTGTGGATATAGGGATAAGTTAAAAATGGATTTAAAAGGTGAATATGGTGACACATTTTTATAACATTAACTGATTTAATAACAATATTGAGAATATTTTCTTATTAGTATACATTAATTTTTTAAAATTTATTTATTTTTTATTAATTATAGTTTATTCACTTGATATCCCAGCTGTAGTCCCCTCATTCTTTCCCAGTCCCACCCTTCCTTCCCCTTCTCTACCCATGCCCCTCCCCAAGTACACTGATAGGAGTGGTCTTCCTCCCCTTCCCTCTGACCCTAAGCCTATCAGGTCTCATCAGGACTGGCTGCATTGTCTTCCCCTGTGGCCTGGTAAGGCTGCTCTCCCCTTAGGGAGGTGATCAGAGAGCCAGCCACTGAGTTCATGTCAGAGACAGGTGACACATGTTTTAATCCCAGTGCTTTGGAGGCAGAGGCAGGAAGGTCTCTGAGTTTTGGGGCCAGTCAGAGCTATGTAGTGAAACCCTGCCTGAGAGAAAAAAGAAAAATAATACAGCTCTAAGATCATGCTCATTTTGGGATGTGGTGGTAGTAGAATCTGTTGAGTGGGCTTCAAGTCAAATTACCAAGATATAAGTGCCAGTATTGCACCTTTCAGGCTGTCTTGCAGGGGTGGTCATTGTGGTTCAATAGCACCACACTGGGCAAGAATACTAATTACTTTTCTTTCTTGGTACTTTTTCTTTCTTTGAGTACTGTAGAATTAGCCTTCATGACTTCTGGGTCAGATCCTACTGAATTTCCCTTAAGCTCAAAGTGTCAGGTGTCCTTCACAATAGGGACCTACTTTCAACCTTCGAGAGGCAACTGAGTGCCACTGCAGCGGCCTATACTGTTGCAGATAAACATAAAATTATCCTCCCACCTGAAAATATCTTTAGTGTATTTATCCCTCCTCTCTCTATGTTTCTCTCTGTGTGTGTCTGTCTTTTTCTGTCAGTCTCTCTCAGTATTGTGCTATTCTATTCCTCCCAACTTACTTCTCTCCCCATTTTCTCCATTTACTCCATTATAGCACCTATAGCCTGCCATCCCCCTTTCTAGAGTTTGTGCCTTCCACAGTCTCTTTACTTTCCAAGTGTCTGTGATTACTCCAGGTTGATACTCACTCCTGGAGATTCAGAGCTGGGAACCACAATTAAGACAAATAGAGCATTTGTATGTCTAGATCTGTGTTACCTCAGCATATTTCCGACTCTTTACCTGCTAATTTTATGATTACATTTTTCTTTACAGTTGAATAATTTCATAAAGTGAAAAATAAACTACTTCTTGGCATATGTCTCAAGGACTGAACATCACAATAGCTAAGAAATAAAAGCAACTAAAATGTCCTTCATCTGGTGAATAGATAATGACATATATACAACAGTTATTTTTAAAGAAAAAATATGTAGAGACTACTGATCATAAGAATGTATTTAAAATTTTTGATTAGCCAGTCATATTGTTTAGGTATCGTTGGTAAAACTTTCCTGTCATCTCCAGGAGACACAATCTCACAGCAGATTGGTCCTCCCTTTCTTTCTTTCTTTCTTTCTTTCTTTCTTTCTTTCTTTCTTTCTTTCTTTCTTTCTTTCTTTCTTTCTTTCTTTCTTAATCACAGTTTATTTACTTTGTATCCCAGCTATAGCCCTCTTCTTTATTACCTCCCAGTCCCACCCTCCCTCCCTGCCTCTTTCCAAGTCTACTGATAGGGTAGGTCCTCCTTCCCTTCCATCTGACCCTAGCTTATCAGGTATCCTCAGGACTGGCTGCAAGGTCCTCCTCTGTGGCCTAGGTAAAGGAGCTAGTCATTGAGTTCATGTCAGGAATAGTTCCTGTTCTCCTTACTAGGGAAACCCGCTTGTATACTGAGCTACCATGGGCTACATCTGAACAGGGGTTCTAGGTTATATCCATATATGGTCCTTGGATGGGGAAACAGTCTCATAGAGGACCCCGTACCCTGATGTATTTTGTCGTTGTGGAGCTCCTGTCTCTCCCGGTCATAGTAACTCCCACTTTTATTGTATGATTCCCTGCACTCTGCCAAAAGTTTGGTTATGAGTCTCCGTATCTGCTTTGATACACTGCTAGATAGAGTCTTTCAGAGGCCCTCTGTGGTAGGCTCCTGTCCTGTTACTTTTTTTCTCCTACTTCCCATGTCCATCCCATTTGTCTCTCTAAGTGAGGATTGATCATCTTACTCCGAGTCCTCTTTCTTGTCTATTTTCTTTAGGGGCACATATTTTAGTATGTTTATCCTATTTGATAGGTCTATATAAGTGAGTATGTACTATGAGTGTCTTTCTGCTCCTGGGATACCTCACTCAGGATGATCTTTTCTAGTTCCCACCATTTGCCTGCAAATTTCATGATTTCCTTGTTTTTAATTGCTGAGTAGTATTCCATTGTGTAAAAGTACCACAATTTCTGTATCCATTCCTCACCTGAGGGGCATCTCTGTTGTTTCCAGTTTCTGGGTATTACGAATACAAACATGGTTGAGCAAATGTTCATGCACTGGCTATCTGAATGGAATACTATAGCCAACCTTTCCTAGATGAGCACTGTATGGCTTATGAGTTAAATATGAAGATGGAAGCTCCCATTCTAGATTTGTACATAAATGTACATTATTCTACTTTATATTCTAATTTTTGTTTTTTCCATTAAAAAAGTTATGATAAGGGAAAAAATTTAGGCAAACTTTTTCTATGTTTAATTGTATAATCCTAAGATTATACTACTCTTCCTGAAGTGCTTAAATGTAAAAGTGAAGCTATATTTGGTCAGGATTCGCATAACTGTTTAATGGTATATCTCATGGTTCTATACTGTTAACCTTCAACAGTTTTACTTTTGATGTGTGACCTTGAAGAACATAAAACATTTAAAACTTTCAAAGTTTTGATCATATTTTAAAAGTGGAGCTATTGAGTAGGTATGAATTCCCTTAAAATAATATGGTAGTTCCAGTGAACAGTTTAGTGGGCTAAGGTGCTTTCTACCACCCCTGTCTACCTGAGTTTTTTCCCTTGATCCACATTTTGAAGGAGTGAACTGATTTCACAAGTTGACTTCTGACCTTTTCATGGATACCGTGGAATAAATATACATACCTACACACAGAAAATAAGTAAATGTAGCAACAATTTAAAAAGAATATTGTGAATTAACTGAAAAACAAAATTACTTTTTAACATTAGAGAGGTGTTCATTCGACTCCAGCATGAAAACAAAATGCTTCGCCTGCAGCAGGAAGGGACAGAGAATGAACGAATAGAGCATTTGGAAGAGCAGCTGGAACAGAAACACCGGAAGATGAATGAGCTGGAAACTGAACAAAGGTGACTATTGCGTTAGATGTCATGGGACTTGATTATGTAAAAGTGTGAAACAGTGCTAGGTCGGAATAAATCGCCAAGCAGATGTTTCTCACCACTGTAATCCTTATTCCATGAAAGAGTCAAGGGGTTTAGTTCAGTGATAATATCACAAAGTATATGAATGATGTGTTCATCTTAATAGTCATGGTTAGCCAGGCTTATTCTTGAATTTCACTAAATATTCTTACAATTGAAAGAAAACAAATGAGTAAATAATGGTTTGACAGCTTCTACAGTTGAGTGTATGCATAGGGCACAGATTGTATAGTCCAGTTTTAAAATATTTTTTTCTAAATTTTTATTTATTATTTGTTACAATTTATTCACTTTGTATCCTGGCTGTAGCCACCCCCCTTCTCCTCCCAGTCCCATCCTCCTTCTTCTTCTTCTCCTCCTATGCCCCTCCCCTAGTCCACTGATAGGGGAGGTCTTCTATCTGACCCCCTAGCCTATCAGGTCTTATCAGCACTTTCTGCATTGTCTTCCTCTGTGTCCTGGCAAGACTGCACCCTCCAGGGGGAGGTGATCAAAGAGCCAGCCACTAAGTTCATGTCAGAGACAGTCCCTGTTCCCCTTACTAGGGAACTCACTTGGAAACTGAGCTGCCTGACCCCAGGGGTCTAGGTCCTCTCCATGCATGGTCCTTGGTTGGAATATCAGTTTCTGTAGGACCCTGTGGACCCAGGTTTTTTGGGTCTGTTGGTCTCCTTGTGGAGTGCCTGTCTTCTCCAGGTATTTCTCTCCCTTCTTCCATAAGACTCCCTGCACTCTGCCCAAAGTTTATCTATGAGTCTTGGCATCTGCTTCCAGGTGCTCCAGGAGCGCAATCGGTTAGTGCGTAGTACTTACAGAACAATTTTTAAAATTCTTAAGTTTTATTTAATTTCAATAATGTTATATGAAGCAATGCCTAACACAGATCAAAACCTACATTTTTAAGTAGAATAAAATGGTTTACTAATGTTTATATTGGTGAGCTAAAATTTCACATAAAATTCACTTATATTTAAAAAATATTGGTCATTTTTCAATCTTGGACATAGAAATAGCATTTAGTGGTAGAATAGAAACAATGCAATATTTAAACACAGGCTTTTTTGTGTGGTCAATTAGAATTCCTCCTCTGCCTAACTCAGTAACTGTTTCTTAAATTCAGGTTACTTAAATTGAGACTGTGTTCGGCTGTAGTCATAGGGAGAATCTGAGTAATGTGATTGCCTCAGATAGTGTGCTTCCCTGGCCCCACTAGTCCTTAAAACCTTGCATAGTCATAAACAAGCATATAAAAATACTTACATCTGTCTTTTATGAATTTTCTGTTAGAATCTTCCATAATAACCTTCCTTCTATGCTTTATGTCAGAAACTGAAGCACAGGCTTCCCACATCTGGGCAGGCAAGCAAACATTTTCCTACTGAGCTATTTCACCACCATCATAAGTAATAGTTACACATAAGCACTTTGGGGACAGGTTTAGTTCAATCCTCACTGTGTATTAGTACTTGTGATTATTTTTCTTATGTTAATATTTTTTTATTTTTAAATAATTTAATACATTCACTTGTATCCCAGCTGTAGCCCACTCCTTCTTTCCCTCCCAATTCTCCCCTCCCTCCCTTATCTCCTCTCTGCCCCCTTCTGAGTCCACTGAGAGGAGGTGTCCTCCTCTCCTTCCCTCTGACCCTAGCTTATCAGGTATCTTCAGGATGGTTGCAATGTCCTTATTTGTGGCCTAGCAAGGCTGCTCCTCCCTCAGGTGGTGTGAGGGGAAGCTCATGAGTTCATGTCAGAAACAAATCCTGTACCCCTTAGTAGGGAACCCACTTGGATACTGAGCTACCATGGGCTATGTCTGAGCAGGTGTTGTAGGTTATATCCACGCATGGTCCTTGGTTGGATAAACAGTCTCATAGAAGACCCCTGTGCTCAGATATATTTGGACCTTGTGGGGCTCCTCGTCCCCTCTCTTTTCCATAGATACGGACATGAAGATAGAGAGGGTCAGAAACTTACTGAAGTTAAGTAGACAGCTTATAAGCTCTGGATACTGTTTCTGTTGACCTGATGGCTGAGTGTCTTCTAACTTACCTCACTAAGAGATGATACTGGTACTCACTGTAGAGAGAAGGTGTAGCTTAATTTGCTCATCTAGCTTTTACCAGATCTTAAAGAGACCCCTGGGGTTTCAGACACTGAACCTTGTGTTCTGTGAGTAAAATAGGGTACATTTGACCTTTCTGAAGAGAGACTTGACTGTTGCTAACAGTAAACATGCTACCTTTCAGCTTTTAATGAACTGATAAAGAATGACTAGACATGTGACTACATTCAGCATGTACAAATATATACTTTAAGAGAGGAGTTTTTTTTAAGTTGTTTCCTCAGAAATAACATCCTGTTCAACCTATTGTACTTGTAATAAATAATCACCTTGCACTTATTTCTGCTACCATTTCCATTAAATGCTGGAATGGATTTTTATAGATCCCCATATGCTTGGACTTTAAATGTGAGTAGATAAATGACAACTCATGTCACACTAGGTTGAGCAAAGAGCGCATTAGAGAACTACAACAGCAAATTGAGGATCTCCAGAAGTCGTTACAAGAACAGGGCTCCAAGCCTGAAGGTGAAAGTGTGAGTAACAGAGTCCATAACTTGCTCTGTGTTTATTCTCTGAGAGTTTCTGCCATCCACTTATTTGTATTTGAAATGCTACCCTTCTCAATTAAGGGTACCTTTAAATACCGTATATATCTGCATAACAGATGCAGTGATTTTTTTTTTTGTCAACTAGAGGTCTAATAGGTTATTCATATAAATCATCAGGTGATTTCTGTCCTGCTCAGCTCAGCATCTATACTTAAGTTCTTTCTAAGTCTTGACTTAAGAGAATGGTACACTTTGAAGCCTAACAGATCTGTTGGAATTTCACCAAGATTGGCCTGAAAAAAAAAAGCAAAATGTGAATAATCATTCAGAAATGAAAAAGCTTTCTAAGAGGAAAATAGAGAACAAAACAAGTGATTTCAACTAATAGTCATCCAAGAAACTATAACAAGTGTGAAGGACATTAACACAGTTTTGAAGATGCCATCCCTGTTGCTTCCCCTCTTATATACCATCTCAAAGCCTTTCAGACAATGTGGGCTGAAGTAAGACTTGAAAAAAATGTAGATTTAATATGAATTTTGACATATCTGGCAGTTATTCTGTACTTTACTCATATATGTTGGAAGAAAAAGAATTGAGAGAGATGTAGCTGATTAAAAGAAAAGAGACTTGAATGTGTTAGCAGATAGCAGTTGATAGAAAATGGTGGTGGGGGAAGAAACTGCAGAGTAAGGAGAGATGGAAAGGCATACTGAAAGAGCTGCATTTTCTTTCTGTCTTTTGCATACTTTATATGGTTTTCTCTTTCTTCCCTGGGGACTTGGAACATAGAAGTCATCTTATGCATGGTGGCATCTCATATGCGCATATATACGGTATCGTACCCTCTTTAATACAGATATCGCTATGCCGCTTTAGGGAATACTTTTAAGATGGCACCTCTGCGGGGGACTACATTTTGGGTTGCAGTGTTTTAAAGATTAATTCCTTTATCTTTTGTTTTTAATTCATTGATGTCCACATTTATCATATTGTGTATTTTAAACTTTGCAGGTACTTTGTAAATGCAGAACTGCTGTAAAGATTTTAAGTATTACTTTTAAAAGAGGAAACTTGATATTTTAAATTTGTTTTTGACAAAAAAATCCAGTTGTCCCATTTTAATGTTAATATGAAAGTACTTTCATTCACAGTGATAAAGTTTTATAAGATAAACAGTAAAATCTATATTTTTCAGTAGTTGTTAATTTAGATATTCAAATGTTTGATACTCCTCAATATATCACATCCAGCTTGAATTTGCTATTTTTAAGTTCAAGTTTAATTTTTACTATATTCAAAAACAAGCAGAATTTTCCTTTGTTACTTTTTTTTTTACTTCATTTCCTATTCTTGTTTCCTTTACCTTTTGATATAAAAATTATACCTAAAATCTTAGGTTTTAGAATTTAGAAATTGTGCTATTACAAGTACATGTTTTGAAGACTATTACTATTTTTACATTACATACCTTTAAAAGAGGTGAAGAGACTTAGATGTTTGGACAGTTTACCCATCACAAATGAGTCATCTTAACAAAAAATATTTTTAATTTTATAGTCCAGCAAACTAAAGCAGAAGTTGGAAGCTCATATGTAAGTAAAACTGATGTTTGATTTCAAAGGGGAAGGGTTAGAGAAGCTTCTGGAAAATGTCCTTTTCTGACTTGCTAAATGAATGCACAGGCTCTGATATTGTCAGCCTACTTCATCACTACTACCGAAATCAAAAGAAAACATGTTCAACTGCTCATGCCTGGCAGCCAGCCTTACGCCTCATTTTTAAAATACCATGTAACATATTTAACCAAGCAGCCATTTACCACCTTGATGATGTGCTGCTTAGCCTATAAAGCACTTCCTTCCACTTGCGCAGGAAGTGGAGGTGCTGATGGAAAAGACAAAGGGTTTTGGAATGCAACACATGTCAGGTGCATTAACATCCTCACAGCAATGCCTGTAGTTAGCCAAACACATTCCCATTTCACTATGGGAAACTTAACTGTCAAATTCTTCTCCCAAGTCCTAGCATTACTGTGGAGAAGAATAGTTTTGATCCTTAGGTCTGTTTGACACCAAGCTTCATGCTCTCTCCACTACTCAGGGAAAAACTAACAGAAGTCCATGAAGAATTACAGAAGAAACAGGAGCTCATTGAAGACCTTCAACCAGATATAAGTCAGAATGGTAAGTGTTTGTTAAAATGTGGATCAGACTTCTCAGGATCTGCCCTTTTAGGGAGGGAGATAAGAAAATAGATTTATCTTTACACAGGGTATAGTTATGCACATTGCATAAGAACCATACTAATTTTTAATGCTAAGTTCATTTGCATATGATATAATTTTAAAGCAAAAACAATTTACTAAGATGAACTGATTGATATAAAGGAGTATCAAACATTGTAAATTCTAGGCAAGTTAATACTATAGAACTGAGTAAAATAATTTCAGGATGGATTAAAATAAACTTCAAAACAAAAGTAGTGTCTTATTTCCTTTTATGTGAACAATGTACTTTGTTTCTGTAATGCTTGCTGAAAAGGACAGAAGCAGCTAGGTTATAGACAGTGGTTAAGGATACATTACTTGTAGTTCAGAAGTTTTAAATAAGAATTAAATAAAAAAAGGAAATTAAAGGCTTTTTTGGAAGCTTTTTTTTAAATCAGTCATTGGAAAATAAGTTTGATAAATACAATTTTTGTGTGTTAAAGAGTCAAGTGTTTTAAATATGTTTTAATTGGTTTGATTTTATTCTCATAAATAGTCCAAAAGATCACTGAACTTGAAGCTGCTCTTCAGAAGAAAGATGAAGACATGAAAGCGATGGAAGAAAGATATAAAATGTACTTAGAGAAGGCCAGAAATGTGAGTGACACACCTACTTAGTCGATCCCTTGTGCCTCCTGTTGTAGTCATTCCTAGTTCTGATTATACTACAGGTCTATGTCTGAACCTAGTCAATTTGCTGTCCTCTGCCTTGCCTTGCCTTGCCTGTCAGGTTTCCGGAAGCTTCTATGTGATTCCTGCATACTCAGTCTCTCTCTAACTTAATGTCAGGTAAATGTGACCTTAGGGACAGCTTCAACCTCAGTAGTAGTGACCGTAGTAAAAAAAAAAGGGGGGGGGGGTTATGCTCTGATATAAAGTCTTTTACTTTAGAAAACGAACCTCAACATATGTGCTAGGGTCTCAGCACATTGGTTGAGAATAAGGTTTACCAGAATTCTAGTTAGCAAAACAAATGAAATTGTTAACTTTTTGTAGAGACAGTCTCTTGGAATGTACCCAATTAGCTTAATTTTGTACTATATCCTGATGTTAACCAGACTAAATTCTTTCTGTTCCTTAATATATACTTTAACTCAGATCAGTGAAGTGTTGTTTTCATAGTCTTATTTCCAGATAAATATTCCCTCAGAATGTTAATACATTCTTTCTATTTAATAAATTAAGGGATTTCATGGTGGTGCAACTTTGAAATAATAGTAACATATTTATTTGTCTTAATGTTTACATTCTATATGTTTACCAGCTAAGATGTCAATGTGAGTTGTAGCATAAGTTGAACCCCATATATCAAGGCTTCACATGTTGGATATTTCCTTCCTAATTGGAGTGTATCTAGTCAGGGAGGGGCTCTGAAATGCAGGCATTTAGTCTTAACACTAAATGCCTTAGTGTTTCCTTAACTTTGTCAAACTGTTGAAGGAGAGACAATATAAACTGAAGAGGAAACAGGTAATAGGTCAGTCCTGGAAATAGCAAAACTCAGTGGCAGAGCTCACAGGTGGCCACAGTGAGCATCTAAGAAGACTCAAGGATATAACATAGCTATGTTTCAGAAATAAAAAGCAAATAGATATGATAAACATGCAAGAAGACCTGAGTTTTATTTCCAGCACCTACCCAGTAGCTCATAAAAGCTAAACAAACAAACCTCAGTGCTTAAAGTTTAACAAAAAGTCTCAAGTAGCTTTCATTGAATAAGTACAAGAGAGAGGAATTTGGTTTGGTGTTAGCCTCTCCCCTCCTTTTTTTTTTTTTTTTTTGTTGTTGTTGTTGTTGTTGTTGTTTTTCTTTAAGTTGTAAAGAAATTTCTAATGGCTTTATGGATAAATCTGTTACAATTTTTTATAAAACATGTTCTTACGTGTTTGACACTTATAAAGACAAAGTGGACTTAAGTTTGTTTTTTTTTGTTTTTTTTTTTTTTTTTTTAATGCAGGTAATAAAAACTTTAGATCCCAAATTAAATCCAGCATCAGCAGAAATAATGTTACTTAGGAAGCAGCTGGCGGAAAAGGAGAGAAGAATTGAGATACTAGAGGTAAAGCCTCCACACCCCCTCACTCCCTCGTCCCTCCGTGGAGTCCTGGGAATTAACTGCTGTGGTATTTGCCAGCATTATCAGGTTTCATAAAACCTTTATTAATCATGATGTGATCCTGCCATCTAATTCAGTTCTTCGCTTTTAATTTTTTTTCTTACACATTGTACAATTTTGTTAGATTCCTTAATTGCCTTAGTAGTTTCTTTTAAAATGCTTTACAGCACTACTATTTTCCGCTCAGTGGGAAGAGGCAGTGCTCATTTTGAAAGGGATATGTACTCCTTTACACCATGTTAACTGTAGAGGCCATGCTGAGCTGTCTTTTCTGGCCTCCCAGAACCTATGATTGATTGTTTGTTTTTCACATAACTAGAACATAGTCTGTTCATATACCTTGGACCTTGTATGGTTTCCCTCAAAGTCATTATAACCTGTGATGGAATTTTGTTCACTGGAAACTTTTATCATCTTCTCTTTTCTGCATCCAGAATGTATATACCAGGCTGATGTGTGCCTCTTCTCATCATTTGTCCAGACAATGCCATGTGTGTAAAGTGTACAGGGAAAGTGCGTGTCTGAAAAAAAAAAGTATTTTTTTTTAAGTTTTAACTAAATTGTCCAATTTTTTTCCTCTATAAAGTGTTTCCTATAATTACACAAAGGACACTCTCACCATGTTTGAGCTCAAGTTCACCGAAGTCTTCTTGCTTTGCACAACAGAATTATGCTTTATATTTTTAATTTTTATTATATGTTGAGGTTTCTTGAGGATGAAGTATTCTGTCTTGCTTTCTATATGCCCAGCACTAAATATTTCTTAAATCAGAGGCTGGGCTTGCAGCTTTATTGGTTGCCTATCTTAGTCTTCATCTCCCATTTTATTTTTGGCCTCAGTTTGTACAAAATAATAAGACCTGACTGGATATCTTTAAAATATTAGTTTTTCAAGTGTGTTGGCCATTCCCTTTACAAAGGAAGCCAGTGCACACCATTGCTAATATTCAGAGTATATTCCAAAATGAGTAATTCCAAGTGGTACCTCTCACTAAAGGATTCTCAGGGAAAAATCTCGATTCACTCACAACATATGGGTGCTTAATTTTTGCTTATTCATTCCTTGTGCATAAGAAGAAAGAGAAGTTGAGTTGTGGGGGCTGTGTTCCAGGTATTTGGCCCTGCATACTTTGTGTACTGTAAGCATGTTTCTCGGGAAGATAGAGGCATTAAGTATTAGCTATTTTTAAGTATTAGGTATTTTTTATGTGTGTCATCTATGTCTTGTGGTTATCAGAATAGAGAACTGACTATATTAGAATAATAAAAGTCCTCCAGTCTGTACAGTGGTGCACGTGCAGAGTCACAGTGTGTCTTGTAACCAAGCTGCCAGGAATGAAGAGCAAGAGTTGTGCTGAGGAGCCCAGCGCTCTGCTGCATCCTTTCTCCTTAGTTTTGACTCCTGCATGTACAGCACCATGTTGACATTTCAGGCAGCTGTTTTTGTGTCAAGTCACAGGAATCGATCACTATGGTTGTGCATGTGTGTAAGTCACTATTCCTGAGTAACATTTCTAAAATGAAGATTACTCACAGTTGTCTTTTGTAAAGATGCTTTGATTGTGTTCTGCATAACTCACTCCTGTATTTTTACTAATTTGTGCATCTCACAAAGGCATTTTTTCTATTCTCCCAGCAGTGAGATCGTAAAGAAATGATTTTGTTTTCAGTAATTTGGGGCAATTTCTGATATTTTAATTGTCTTAATCATTATTTCCTTTTTCAGAGTGAATGTAAAGTAGCAAAATTCAGGGATTATGAGGAAAAACTCATTGTTTCTGCCTGGTATAACAAGGTGTGTTGAGTTTCAGTGGTGAGTGGGTTTAAGCCCTGTTGATCACTTCCTTGACCAGAATAATAGAAAGAAATGTTTTATATCAATGAAATACAGTTGTGTTATAAGGTCTGGTGATGGAATGACACCTTCCCTCATCAGAAAACCAGTAGCCCAAACCAGAGTGTAGCATTTTATCCAGCTGCCATCTTTTAGCTCTGTTTATCTGGTCTCTTCTGTGTGATGTGTCTGTTCACAGTTAGTACAGTGATGGTTCCAGCACACACACAAAATTGCTTTGGAATTTTTTTTTTTCTGGCATGCTGTTTTAGGCTACTGTTTCAATGATGTAAAATTTACTAGATTAAAAGACACTGGATTTTGTGCCCTCTTGCTAGTGTTGTCAGACAAAGAAGAATCGGCTTTTGAATCTTTAATTTTTTTTCTCAGCCGATCAGGAAACCATTATCCTGCTAGGATTGCTGTAATTCTACATTTTCCTTGTTATTTATTTATCTGCTTTTTCATTCAGAGCCTGGCGTATCAGAAACTGGGCATGGAAAATCGGCTGGTGAGTGGTGCTGGTGCTTGCAAAGACAGCGGTATGAGTGCTCCTGCTCGGTCCTTCTTAGCACAGCAGCGGCATATCACCAACACCCGAAGAAGCCTCTCTGTGAAAGTTCCGGCTGCAGCATCTGACTAGTCTGCAAAGCAAACATGAACAGAAGTGCCTCAAACTCTTTTGTACCCCAAGAAACTGCCAGATGGAAAAAACAAAGGTTAAAATGCTTGTTAGCAGCTAGTTTTGTTTTGATTTTGAGACAGGGTCTCATGTACCCTACACTGGCATTTAATTTACAGTGTATTCAGAGATGACTTTGAGCATATCAACAGTCCTTCCCTCACTTTATGCATGCTGGGATTAAGAGTTGTATACTACCATACTGGGTTTATATATTGCTGTGTATCAAATTCAGGTGCTCTACCAACTGAGCTACATTCTCAACCTTGGTATCAACTATATTTAAATCAAAATATATCAAAATAACATTTCAGTTTACGCTGAAAACAAAATACAGAATCAGCTTTGAGTCTGAGCAGCACATTTGAGTAGTTGGGAGTGTGGTGAAGAAAATATTTGTCTTGAGATGGCATCATGTGTGGGAAAGCAAACACATACTTATGTTTTTAGTTGTAAGAGCAAGTCAGTTAATTTGGAAAAATTAATCAGTAGTTTGTCATTTAATAATATATCTAGATTTGTTTTATTGAAAGCAGTCTCCGATTAGGCACGTAGAAGACTCTGCAAGATGAATTCTTTGATATGTACAAAAGCTTTCCTCTGCTCGCCAGTTCTGCCCTCTGGAGGATGCTTTGTCATGCTGTGGAAGCTATGATACTTGGAAGACTTTACTCTTGAATTGACTTTGCCCTGTAAAAGTGACTCATTAGATGCTTGCAGCTTCTCTGAGTTGTATCTCAGTTTAAATATGTACTGCTGTGAATGAAGACTGTGGAGGGCTTGACTGAATGTTAAGGTGGGAAATAAACTGATATTTGTAGAGGTGCCTTTCTGTGGAAAGCAGACTAGGATACATTTTGAAATAGCCACATGCTCTAAAGGGTGACATTATTGTGAACTTTCCTTTCTAAGAAGTGGTATATCATGTATAATTTGCTTTTTTATTGAAAGAAACATAGTGATGAAAGAGCTTACAACCAATTCAGTTTCTGCTTACCTCTAAGAAGTATCTGGAGCTATATTTGTGGCATTCAGTTCATTTCTGCCCACAGTTTGTTTTTTCCTGAGGTCTTACTTTCTAATTTGGGTCGCTTTTTAAAGTCAAAACTTTGGACTATTAGTTGTTAAATCAGTATTGCTTAATGTAGCCACAAGTGGGTCACTCTTGTGCCAGTCACATTTTCAACACTTATTTGCCACATGTTTCCATCATTTTTGAAATTTCTTGTGCAGTGTGTCACACTATCTTGGTTTTTGGTAACTTGCAAAATTTCTTTTATCCTTAGACTACAAAAGTAAGAAGCGTTGCATCCATTTCAGATCTAGAGTGGATTCCGATGGGAACAAGAGTGCAGCAAACTCAAATGTTGCAGCATTGTGTCTACCCTGAGCATTAGCAGGCTTTCCATGTAGGAGCCAACTTAAGGGCTACATGCTCCTTGTTGGATCAGCTCCTCACCTCTGCCCTCACAGCATGAAAGAAGGGATCTGTACTTTGTAAACACAGTGGCTGTGGTGGTGGCTGAGCTGGCAGGCTATAGAGCTGTGGTCTGCATTTTATTCCTACTTCTGCGTGAATATGAGTATTGTTCTATTTGCAGTGTTAACTCGTTTAGATAACTGCCTTTAAATCCTTGCCCAGTAATTTTTTAACCATTTAAAATACAAGAATTACACAGTGATTTGGGGTCTTTGAGATTAGTAGTATCTGCCAGGATATTTTGTTTTATCAGGGTCCCTTCTGTTGACTACCTCTTAGATTTTGATGATTCTTTGTGCGTTGTACACAGTTTGTTTGCATATTTGTATGTTCTTACGGTGTTTGCTTGCCTGTTTCTTTTAGTAAAATGAAACTTTGAAAATACCTAGCATGCTATTTAAAATTTTCTAAAAATAATGGCATTTGGGTATATTTTTGTCAGTGAAGACATTAATGTTAGTGTTTGTATTTACTTATATTGAGGTTTTACAAGTTCCCTTTCAATGGAACTTACTGTAAAATATCAATTTATGTTTCCAGTGCAATTGCTCACAAATTCTTAAGTAATTCATATAGCATAAATAAGGACATAAGGATAGATTCTTGTTTAAATTTTTTAAAAAAGCAAATTTTCTGATTTTTCTAGTTTTAAGTAGAATTTTGAATGTTTGATACGTGTTTATATAAAACTAGTGTAAAATTCTATATAATAGAGATTAAATCACAGAAATTCAGGCATGATCATGGTAAGATTCTTCCTTTGTGTGGTTTATGCAGTGAGACTGGCATCCTGCCAGGTAGAAAGCATAACGTGTTTCATCTGGAGCCATAATTTCTACAAGCATGTTGCAAGGGAAGATTGAACACATAAACATGGAATTGACAAAATATTTAAGTCCCAGTGACTATAAAGTTAGAAACGATCTTGAATTTCCAGTGGTTGTCTTTAGGTGATACTTCTTTTTCTTTTGGATATAATTATGACAGTGATGTTTATCTTGGGATTAACTTAGTGCTTTGAGAAATATTTGAAGTTTATTCTATTTTTTCAATGATTAAGACTAAGGATTTAGTCTAAGTTTAAAATGTCTTGCCTAGCAATCTTTAGCTGATTATTCCTTACTAATTTCTGGTCTTTAATGACTGGATGTTAAACACAACCACATGTACTTCTGTGTAATGGTACATCCGCCTCTTGGGAATAATGGTGGTTTAGGCCAGCATACTATCATTTTGTGCAAAAATGAATATATGGCTTGTAATACATACAGTCTTACTGTGATTCTGTTTGTTGCACAGAAATAGTTTGGACATTTTTAAAGCACAAATCGTCAGAGGAAATAGTGTGTAATTATTAAACTTAAAGTTTTGGTGTAGTGTTTAGTTTGTAAAAAGGTCCTGTCTATTTTCTATGGCAAATGCTATCACACTTGAAAAATAGAAGAAGCAATACGATTTATTTTTGTAAGTATTTAGAATATTATTTTAAAAAATTAATTGTCAATATTATTGTGAAATGTTTTAAGTAAATAAACTTCTGCTTCTGTATCAGTTCTTTGTGGTGTTTTTAGTGGCTACAAATGCATGTTTATTTTCCATTTGAGTAAAGGATAAGCACGCTTAGAATGGTACACAAAATTGCATGAATTCAAGTTGTGTGTGTGTAAACAACATACTTAAAAGTGATTTTTTTTATCTTCTTTGTTTCTAGTTTCACCACCAGAATGTAGATCTCTGTTTTTTAATGTGGAATCCAGAGCATTTCTAGGCATATAATTTCAGGTTTATTGAGGGCTACTTATTTACTTAAGATAAATAGAAAGTTCTTGGATTAAAGGTGTGTGATAGGGCTCAACCACACCAAACAAGAAACAGGGTTTTACAGTTGACAATTGTGGGGTACACAGTGGGATAAAATATCCTGCAACAATAGTTTCCTTACATAATTCTTTCGTTAATAATTTATTGCATTACTTTGGTGTTGGAGGTTGGTCTGATGCTGGCCCCACCTATCTTTGTTTTTGTAAACCTAAGACATTATACCTGATTGGTTAATTGAAGGCCTATACCTCTGCAGGGCAAAATGGGGTAGGCGCGGCTAAGGTTCCCAAGTTTGAGGACAGGGAATCGGAGGAAACAGAAAGACAGGACGGGAGGAGGACAAAAAAATGTGTAACAATCACACAACCATTCAGATGTTTCAGATATAAAAGGACAGGGACGGGAGACAAAGTGAAAGACCTGCCTCACTTTAGGCAAACGCCCAGGATAGCACCCAAACTTTATTTGAGGACTCAGCTTCTCAAGTGTAGAATACTGTGGTGAACTAACTAAGAGAAAATTATTTTGTTTCTAATTCAATAAGAACGATGTCTTAATCAACATGGTGCCACTGACTACACTGTGTAAGTGTAGATTCCAGTCACTTCAGGTTGTTTTGGGAGTTGCAGTTTGTAGACCAGTTAACAGATCAGAACTCCTATGATCATGGAGACATTAAAAGTTACAGACCCAAAACCAAGGTTAGTTTTATTTATGCTTAGTCCTTTATGTAGCTATTATCAGGTGTGAAACTTACTAAATGTATTAGCAAACCAGTAATTTCCACCAGCCCAAAAGCTAAGAATGTCCTGAGATCTTGAACAGAATTTCCCCCACTTTATGCTGCCAGCTCCCTGATGCCCCATCAGTGTTTTTGGAAAATATATTTTGTGACTGCCTGAACCTACAAAAGCACATGCAAGTAATTTCACAGTAGAATGTTCCTGAGCCTTGGTCCAAATACTGTCTTACTGCTTTTTAGAGCAATCATTTTGGTGTCTCACATAGACCTGTGAAGCCGTGCTCATTTCTTGTCACCCACTTGTGCCTAGTGATAATTAACATCTTCAACCTTACTGGTTCTTTCTTCTGCCAGTTGATATGTACTGCAAAGTCCTTCTAGTAAATTTAAACCTGTTTCTTCCACTATGACAGTCTTTGGGTATCTGCTTTGAAAGCAGTCTCCTTACTGTGATTTTCCATTAAAAGAAAAAACAATATTCTAGCATTGACTGCTTTCCTGTTCTTATTTATATTTAAAAAAAATGTTCAGATTGTTTTAAGACTTTGGTAATTTTCAGAATCCTGGAGATGTTGATTATTTTTGATAATGTTCCTAATGTTTTTGGAAGGTGAGAACTTTGGGAATTTACATGACAGTTTTTTTTTTTCCTAGAAAAGAACTAGCTTTATTGTCAACTGGTTTATTAAAAATGACCAAGGTAATTAATTCAAAGGGAGAAATGATAATATTTCCAACACATGGTCCAAGAATAATTATATTTGGGCTGTGAAAAGATAGATGACTTTAGGTTTCTTCTTCACATCAAACCAATGTAACTCAAAATTAGAATTACATGTAAGTATAAAACTTTGAGAAAAAGAGAAAATATTACCTTTGATTAGGTGAACTATTACCGACATTTAAAAACATGTTTAAATAAAAATGTTGCTAAAATTGATTTCATAAGCATTCATGTCCAGTAAATCAAGGCATTGAAAAGAGCCTTAGCTTTGGAGAAATATTTGTAAAAACATGTTAAAAATATATGTATTTACAATAAAAATATTGTACCTCAAATATTAAGTCCCTTTAATATTTTTATTTTTTGAAATTATAGTAACATCATTTCCTCCCATGCACACCTCCACCACCCTTAAAATCATGGTCTCTGTTTCTTTAGCCGTTACAGATATACATACATATTCCTAAACATGTAAATACTGCTTTCTCATTCTGCATGGTGTAACATACATATATGATCTCAAGGCTAACTACTGTGTATTGGGTAACCAATTAGGGAGAACTGTATCCTGGGGAAGACCATCTTTCCCTCTCCTCCATTGCCCAGAGTTCTTTGCCTACGGTTGAGGACCCATGAGTTTTCTTCATTCCATGTTCTGTCCATTTTTTTGTCCTCATCATTGTTCAAGCCTTCTTTAGGCATCCAGGTAGATGAGATTTCATGGGAATAGCCTCTGATATTTGTAGAATTACAGCCGCTGCAGCATGGTAGCCTTTTATCTCTAGTCCATAGGGAACACAAAACCTTGTAACGAAAACATCGAACTGCCTGAGAGAAAAATGTCTACGTTTCTCAGTGGCACAAACAGGTGGAATTACAGGGATATGATGAATATATTTTGACCAAGTACTGTGTTTCTTTGAGGTCTGTCTTTGGTCTTTACAATCATGGCAGGAGCAGGTAGGAGGTTAGGCATCAGTATAACAGCCCTGAAATCCCAGTGCCTAACAACAAAGCATTTATTTTGGACATTGTATGCCCATCTTGCAGAAGCTATGACTTCGTTTCATGTCTGTGTCACACTGCAGAGATCAGGCTGAAAGGCAGAGAAGAAAATATGTTGAACTGAGATCAGGCACTCAAGGGTAACTCCTATAACTTTTCTTTATCATCTTGAGCAATCCAGGCATGTGGCCATTCCTGACTTTATCAGGAATGTTATGTAAAATAATACCAGAAGAAAAAATTTACAAAGAAATGTCACTTAGCTGTGGGATAGTGGCTCCCTTCACCAAGCGTGGTCTTTAGAGCAGATCCTTCTTCCGTCTTTCAGGTGGGCAGGGAATACTTCACAAGCAGAAAGTAACTGACAGACATGGGATTGGCCAGTTAGAGCCACAGCCTAGTTATCTGGCTCCCAGGGAGACTCCCTTGGTCTTTCAATGTAGTTCAGTGTGCATGAGAGTGTGGTGATGTTTTGGTACTTGATGGAACTGGACAAAGAGAAGCCTCTGTTCTGACCTTAGTAGCTTACAGTGTGCATTACTCATGACTCAGTGCCAGCTCTTGAAGGCTCTCTTTGCAACTGGCCCTTTCTTCTCAGTTTAATGCAACGATTTCAGAAGAAAAGTTCTTGGATGGCCAGAGCAGAACCGCTCATGGTGAGTGCACAAGAACACAGCGTGACCCAGAAAGCACCAGTATCCATGGGGGCAGCTGCCAGCTTTTAAAACAAGTACAGAGGATAATGCAGAGGATAGATATGAAGCAGGGAGCCAGCGGGGAACTAGGACATAGAGCTATTCACAAAGTCGTGTTCCTCCACTGTTTCTGAAGGATGGTAATGAAATTAGCAAGAGGAGAAAAAAAGGCTATAAAATGTACCAACCTCAGTGGCTGGTAAGCCATCGTCTGTGGTTCTAACCTGTGACTGCAGTCCAAGAAAGGAGGCAGGTGAGTGTAGGTTCAGGGGGGGAAAAACGAAGAAATAAGCTCACAGGCAGGATTTCAGTTGATTGAAAAATATCAGACTAACAAGATACATGACATACTGCTGAGAGTGAAGATAGGGGAAGAAATGTCAAGGGGAGACATGGCACCCCAGTAGGAATGACAGTGAACATCTGGGCTCACATTGATAATCACTGATGCCAATCATGATGGCTCTAATGCCACTGTTGTGTCCCCTAAGTGATCATATTATTCCAAAATTCACTACAGCACACTTTACAGTTCGTGCAACTATTTTTCGTATGTAATTAAAAAACTGAGCAGTGTTTTTCTGTGTGTGTGAGAGAGAGAGAGAGAGAGAGAGAGAGAGAAAGTGTGTTCTTTGTATGTTTTCTTAAGCTATAGGATTCTTCAGTTTTGTCCCTCCTGTTCAGTTTAACTGGTCCTAATTATGCTTCCCCAGGCAATTATTATTTTATTTTTCCCTCTTATTATTATTATATTTCCCCTTATTATTTTTATTATTCCCCTCTAACAGAAAGCAATGATGAGAATAAAGCAGGTCTAATCTTCTCTCCTGGGTTCACATAATGGGCACTGTGACTTCAGTGTTAACTCCAGTCAAAGACTGTAATGATTTCCCTCCCCTTAAATGGTGTTTGGCCTATGGAACTTGTAAAGGCCACCAGAATGCAGAGGAAGTCATGGGTAATGGTCTCTAGTCGGCACCTCACCAGGCCTGTATACTTTTGTTCTTCTTGGTATATTTTCACTGCCATTAGAATTCCCCAGTGCTTTGCTAGAGAAGGAAAAATAGTCAGTATGCTAACTTATTGCTCACATAAGGCATGTTAACCAAGAAGAGCCAACCGGATGACCTGACCTGAAAATGTTTAAGAATGGGTTCTTGCCGTTTAATATAGTCTGTGGTGATTGTTATACAGCAAGATTCTAGCTAATACAAAGGATATGAACTCAGTGAATCTGAGTGGAAGTGCCTGTAACTGGGGATGTAAATAAAAAACCTTGGGCCCTGTTCTGCCAATTCTGTAAGCATGTGATCTTGAGTAGCAAAGAACTCCCTTCTTAGATGGAGTTTTATTTTATTATTTTTAAAAAGATGCATTTATGTAATGTATTGGGTGCTTTTGACAGCATGTATGTCTGCACACCAGATCTTGTTATATTGTGAGCTGCCCTGTGAGTGCTAGGAATTGAAATCAGGACCCCTGGAAGAACCCACAGTACTCTTAACCACTCAGCCATCTCCAGCCCTGCTGGAGTTTTCTTATGGGATGAAAGTAAACACTAATT